GCAGCTACTATAAGCAACTCACCATCTTTAGTACTAGTCAGCCTGTCCTGGAGACAGCACACCCGGCTTTAGGAGCAGCAAGACGGATGCTTCTTCCTCAGGCAATACCACCAAGTTCCTCCAACAAAGCTAGGGGATGGAGATACAGGCCTGGGCTCCTAGAGTCTTCTCAATGGAAGTCTCTGTTAGCCCAACACAGGGCTTCTGATAATCTGTGTGAAGACCAATGTGGGGTCACTGGAGAGACCCAACAGTTTGACAGTTCTGAGACAAGAGACAAAAACAAAACAAACTCACTTAGGACTCTTGAGAGGAACTAGGGAGATGACTTGTTCTTGCAGCAGGTCTGGGTTTAGTTCCCAGCACCCATACAGTGGCTCACAACCATCATCATTCCAGTTCCAGGGATCTGATGAGGATAGCTGACATATGCATGGTGCACATACATACACAAAGGCAAAACTCTTACACATAAAATAAGTAGGTGCTGGAGAGAGAACTGGCCGCTCTTCCAGAGGAACTAGGTTCAATTCCCAGAACCCACATGGCAGCTGACAATAAATAATTTTAAAATGAATGCTAGATCCTAGCACTCATGCCGGTTTTGAACCTGAAGGCCCGGAAATACACAGTTAAAAGCTTCTAGTAGCTGGCTCCATTGGTGCATGTCTGTAGTCGCCACTTAGGAGGCTGAGGCAGGAGGATTCCTCACGCCACAACCTGAAGGACAGGTTAAGTAATAAAGGATTTCCACACCTCTAAACAAACAGGTAAATAAAAACTTCCCCAAATTAGTTGTGTATAGGAAATAGGGAACAGAGGAACACACTAAATCACACTGTAGGATGCAATCAGTAAACTCAAAAACACGGAAAATGGGGTGAGAGGAGTTGAGGGAGGGGAAACTGTGATAGAATATATGACGAAAAAATATTTCCAATAAAAATTTAAAAGACAACAAAACAAAAAACAGAAAACACCAAGGACAAAACCAGTATTCTCTTTTAATGTCAGTTTCATCCTGGGTGTGGTGGTGCCTGCCTTTAGTCCCCACATTCCACAGAGTAGGCAGAGACAAATGGATCTCTGTGAGTTAGAGGCCAGCACGGTCTACATAGAGTTCTAGGCCAGCTGGGGCTGTATCGTGAGACCCTGTCTCAAAAAACAAAACAAAGCCAATTGCAAGGAATTACTAATTTTTTGAAGGGGGAAGACCCACCTACAGATTAAGTCATAACAACTGCATACAATATGAAATATCTTTAGAACACTAAGATTCAAATAATCAACTATAAAAATTGGGCAATTGCCTGGTGGTGGTGGCGCACGCCTTTAATCCCAGCACTTGGGAGGCAGAGGCAGGCAGATCTCTGTGAGTTCGAGACCAGCCTGATCTACAAGAGCTAGTTCCAGGACAGGAACCAAAACCACAGAGAAACCCTGTCTTGAAAAACCAAAAAAAAAAAAAATTGGGCAATCATGGATATTTGAACTTGATAGTTTAGAATAATAATGATGTTCTATGAAGCCTGGCATAGTGACACACATCTGTAATCCCAGCACTTGGGAGACTGAGGCAGAATTGTAGTGAGTTTGAGATCAGATTGGGGTACATAGTAATTTCTGGGATACATAGTCTGTATCAATCAACCAACCAACCAATCAATCAATAAACAAACAAGGGCTGGATGGTGGTGGCACAAACCTTTATTCCCAGCACTTGGGAGGCAGAGGCAGTTGGATCTCTGTGAGTTCGAGGCCAACCTGGTTTACAAGAGCCAGGACAGGTTCCAAAGTTACAGAGAAACCCTGTCTCGAAAAACAAACAAACAAAAAACAAAAACAAAAAAATACCCAAGCAAACAAATAAATAAAGGTACCCAGCACTTGGGATGCAGAAGCAGGTGGATCTCTGTGAGTTCAAGGCCAGCCTGGTCTAGAAAGCGAGTTCCAGGACAGCCAGAGCTACATAGAAAAAAGTCCTCACCCCACAGTGACAAACCACCTCTGACAAGGCCAAACCTTCTAACCCTTTTGGAACAGTTCTACTAAATGAAGACCAAGCATTCAGATATATGAGCCTGTGGGGGGCACTGTTGTTTTTGTGTTGTTTTGTTTTGACCACTGCCAGGCTATAGGGGCCACCCCTGCCCCCTTCCAGAGAGGGTTTTTCTTGTAGCCTTGGCTCTCCTGGAACTCACTCTGTAGACAAGGATGTCGGCAAACTCAAGAGATCCACCAGCCTCTGTCTCCCAAGTATTAGGATTAAAGATGTGCACCACCACCACCTGACTAGAGCTATCATTCTTATTCAAATCGCCACAGCCTGGTCCCATTTAGGGACCAGTTATTCTTGTTCAATATTGAGGGCAAACGACATTCCATCTCTAGGCAAGTGTTTATTTGGAAAGCCCTCATCTTCATTAATTTAGCCCTTTCTTTGGTATATAAAGTCTTCTCATCAGACTTTTTTTAAAAAAAAATTCTTTAAGACAATTTCCCTATGTAACCCAGCTAACCTACAACATCTCCATGTAGATAAGGCTGGTTCCAAACTGTGGCAATCCTCCTGCCTCTCCTTCCCAAGAGCTAAGATTAGAGACACAAACCCCATGTCTGGCCAGACCCTTTCTTGATGAGACTCGACAAAAACAATGTACTTTATTGCCCAGTGATGAATGGAAGAGCTTGGGGAAGGCTGTTGAAACCTTCAGGGACTTTCCTGACCTGTCCCGGAAAACACACGCTGACCCTCTGCTGCCTGTAAGTGTAAGCCGCTGAGTGTTAGAGAAAGGGATACACAGGACGTAGGACTTGTGGAGGGGAAGTCATGTTGGGAATGGAGGAGTAAGGAGAAGGTATCTTCCCTGGTGCTGGAGCACATACTTTAATCCCAGCCCTTGGGAGGCAGAGGCAGGAAGCCCTATATTAAAAAAAAAAAAAAAGGAAAACGGTGTCTCAGGAAGTTGGAGCAATGTGTGAGAGGTAATCTTTGATTTGGGGTGTGGTGACACATGCCTTTAATCATAAGGAAAAGTCCTCTTCAACTCTGTGAGTCTGAGGTCAAACCTGGTCTACAGAGCTAGTTCTAGGGGAGCCAGAGTTACACCATGAAACCCTGTCTTGCAAAAAAAAAAAAGAATCTTATTTTAAAATGAGGTGAGGTAGAGAGATGGCTCCACACTTAAGAAAACTTGTTGCCCGGCTCAGAAGACCCAGGTAATACACTGGGTATGGCCTCAAATTACCTGTAAGCCCAGTGATGTGAGGGCAGAAGACAGAGGATTGCTGGGGCCTTGAGGTTGCCAACCTAGCTAAAAAGAACCTCTAGGTTCAATTTGAAACCAGGCCTCACAGGTAGAAAATAATAGGGTAGGACATGGGTTGCCCTCCTCTGGCATTGGCCTCTGTGCCTGCCCAGGCAAATGCACCCACAAACTCAACTACACAACACAAATAAATATGAGAGAGAGAGAGAGAGAGAGAGAGAGAGAGAGAGAGAGAGATATCAAGGTCAATTACAGTTACAGCTCTCAAAGATAATGTCTCAAAAAAGAAAACAGCATACTTTTCAGTATGCTAAAACAGGGCTACTGTTGAGTGTGGCTGGAATGAACGGATCCCAAGAGGGGCAGCCAACCACGATGGGAGGAGTTCTTAACAAATTTATCTTACACCGCTTTTCCAAACATACTCATTACAGCCCAGAAACAGCAGGCTTTTAGAAATCCTTCTCATTTGTGGGAGGAGAAACTAAGGGGGTCTCAGCTGTAGCTAGCTCGAGGGTCTACCGTTCTTTATGGAGATGGGCCACACACGCAGGCCTCACACAGCTGCCACTGGCTCCCCAAAAGCCAAGTGCTCTTACAGAAGCCCCCTCCAAGACGACCCACGGCAGTGACAGGCAAGGCTGTGTCTGGGATGCCAAGAGACAGGAAGGGGCCTGAGAGGAAGGGCTCTGCAGCACAGAGGACAGAGCAGAAGGGACTGATCAGTTCTGGTTTTCTCTGCAGCACCCATGCCTCCTGCAGCCCCCCTTCCCCCGGATACTACCATGTCCTCTACAGAGAGCACGTACAAGCTCTTAACCTCTGAGCCATCTCCATCTCTTGGGCTTTTTAAAGTTTGAGTCTGAAGGATTGAATTCCGGTTCTCACACCTGCTTGTAGGGCAAACACTTCGCTCACAGAGCTACCGCACCAGCTTTCATTTGTTTATTATTTATTTATTTTTGAGGCACGTTCCCCGTACCCTAGGCTGGTTCCCCAGCTCAGCCTGACCTTGAAATTTCTGCTCTTCCTGCCTCTACTTCTCAAGTGCTAGGGCCGCAGGTGTGCAGCAATAGGCCTGGTTTTGTGCGGTGCTGCGGATCAAATCCAGGACTTCCTGCATTCTAGGCAAGCGCTCTACCAACTAAGCTACAAAAGAGCCGAGTATTGGCTCTTAATATTGCCTGTTATTATTACTGCAGTTGCTATTAATTCCCAGTCAGTCCCTTGGGCGTTGGATGGCATGGACAATTTGTACCTGGTAAAGAGGAACTTCCTGATTGCTGAAATCTCACCACATCAAAGCCAGTCCAACCAGCAGAGGCCCAGGACCCAGTATGTGTCCTGGAGTTCTGGCCTTTGTCCCAAGAAGAATGAAGGTTACTCATGATCCAGCCAGGTTCCCTTCTTAGGAATCTAAAGAATTGCTTGAGAGATTGTATGGTGGGAATCAGTGGTTCAGTTTATGTTTTGAGGTGAAATGCTCAGAATGACCCCTAAATTCCAGACCTCTCCCTGAAGCCAGACCCAACCAACCCATCGGCTTCATCCGGCGTTGGGCCCAGCCACCGAGGTAGTGCAGATCACTGACAACTTCCTTGAGCCAATGGTGGCTGAAAGGCCACGTTCCACAGACCACGAGCGCTGGGAGCCCGTGTTACCCTGAACTGCCACAGAGAAGGACGCTCACATCTGTGTCTACATTAAACACATTTACTTCCATTAAATGTTTGCTCCTGCACAAGTGGAGGGGGTTCGAGGGTACAGAATGATAACTGGGAGAGCTGCGTGGATCACAAAGTCATACAATGAGGCCTAGAAAGGCTGTAACAATGGTGAGGATTGGGGCTATGTGGGGAGATTTTGAGTGTAACCCCTCGGGTGATAACTTGAGTGTATGATGTGTTGGGATCTCTGATTGGTTCTTTTCCTTTTGCTGTTTCTCTTGTCGACGTGGCAAGACTGAGTGACAAGCACTGTCCAGCTGCTCCTCTGGAATCATGTCCTCCAGAGGACTTTGCCATCTGCTTTGCTCCCGGACCTGGAGGTGACAGTTGTCAGTCAGCAGCTTTTCCGGGTCTCCTGTAGCCTGTTAATGCTACGGAAGCCCCTGCGCAGATTCATGCCCTGCTCTCTTGCCGTCTCACCATACCTGTTCCACCTCTCTGAAGACGCGTAGCAGGTTTCCTCGAAGGACACCTTGCAGCTCCTGTTCAGTCCAGCCCCGTCTCAGCAACTCCTCTATGAGCACTGGGTATGTAGACACGTCCTCCAGGCCCTGAGGGAACCTGTGCAGTCACCAGCAGGTGAACCTCAGACCCAATATCCTAATCCAACTGAAAACCTCAGCTCTACCTGAGTTGCACCCTCAGCAATGGTCATACGTGGGGCTGGAGACTAGGAAGGGGTAAGTCGTTTGCTCCAGTCCTAATTCTTCAGAGGTCTGAAAATCTCTTAAAAAAAATATGTAGTGCTATAAATCAACCCTTGGGCCTCATAGATAAGCAAGTTCCCTATCACTCCTAGTCCCTTCCTTGAAAAGCTCCTAAATGGTCTTTTAAGATTTATGCCTTCCAGTTAGGCAATGGTGGTGTGCGCCTTTAATTCCAGCACTTGGAAGGCTGAGGCAGGCTTCAGATCTCTCTGAGTTTGAGGTCAGTCAGGGCTACATAGTGAAACTCTTTCTCAAACAAACTCAAACAAACAAGAAAAGATTTATGCTTTTTTTTTTTAAAATTTATGCTTTCTAATAAATGCAGATATCCCCTCTGTTAAAAAAAAAAAGGAGTATCTGAAGCTGTTGCTCAGGAGTAGAGTCCCTGGCTTGACTAACTTCAGGAAGGTTCTGAGGTGGATTCCTAGAACTGGAAAAGAAAAAAAAGAATACTGAAGAAACAAACGCAGGGGCCAATAATAGGTTCAGTGACTAAAGGCCTAACAACCTGAGTGTAGTCTCTGGAATCCACATGGGAGAAGAAAAGAGTGATTCCTGCCATGTGTGCCCTAGCATGCACATCCACCCCACTTTCCAAGTGGTAAATATTGTTTTAAAAAAGAAAAGGAATAGCCAGGCGGTGGTGGGGCACACTTTTAATCTTAGCACTTGGGAGGCAGAGGCAGGCAGATCTCTGAGTTCAAGGCCAGCCTGGTCTACAGAGTGAGTTCCAGGACAGTCAGGGCTCCACAGAGAAGCCCTTTCTTAACAACAGTACCGAGAATAACAACTGGCAGAGAAGACAGTCCGCTCAGAGGTCTGCAGTGGGTGCACGGGCTAGAAAAATGAGCTTTCTCAAAGTACCTTAGTGGGGGCCTTGGGCTGAAGACATACAGGAGAGCACAGGAAAGAGCCCTGGGGATGGAGAGATGTCCAATGGGCAAAGCCTAAAGGCCTTGAGGACCTTGATGCTGCGAGAGCAGCTTCAGATCAGCCACGGAGAAATACTCACTGCGCGGCGCCATCGTAATCTCCACCAATCCCTATGAACTCCGATCCAATCACTGCTTTGATGTGGTCAAAGTGATCTGGGGAAATGGACAGTCAACAGAATGGGGCTTTCAGGGAAAGAATGGCCTTGGAATTAGGTTTGGCAGATCCCATTCCTCCTTGGATTACAGTCTAGGATTCTCTTTATCTCTCTCTCTCTCTCTCTCTCTCTCTCTCTTTCCTTCTTTCTTTTTTTGAGACAGGGTTTCTCTGTAGCTTTTGGTTCCTGTCCTGGAACTAGCTCTTGTAGACCAGGTTGGCCGTCGAACTCACAGAGATCCGCCTACATCTGCCTCCTGAGTGCTGGGATTAAAGGCATGCACCACCACTGCCCAGCTCAGTCTAGGATTTTCATAAGCCATAACTTCGCAGGGAACAGGCTCCAGCCGCCTGGACTCCTTCCCAGTCAGTCCCACAAAGTGAGCATCTCTGAGAAGAGACTGGTATTTGCTTCAGTTGACCTTTCTCCGGCTTCCTTTTCTTTCATTTTTCTTTTCTTTCTCTCTTTTGTTTTTCTTGTTCTCCCCCCATTTCAGGAAAGCTATCTTGGCTCTTAGAGAGCTTAACAATGCTCAGTCTGAACATTTTCTTGGCAAGAATCTTGCCCTTGACTTGTTTATTCACAACAAAGCCAGCAGGGTGCTGCGTGATATTGTAAACAATTTTGCCAGGGTAATATTTATGAGGCCTTTCTTTCTGAATAGTGCCCAACTCCTTGATGTCTACAGTATTATCCTTTTCATAGATTTGTATATATGTGGTCAAAGCAACAAATCTATATTTCTTAAAAGGCCTAGAAAGAGCTGGAGAGATGGATGGGTCAGTGGTTAAAAGCAGTGCCTGCTCTTCTGGAGGATCTGAACTTGGTTTGATTTCCAGCATCCACACAGTCATCTATATTTTCAGTTCTGGGGGGTCTGACATCCTCTTCTATCCTCTGCAGGCACCAGGCATGTCTAGGATACACAGACATACATGCAGGCAAAACACCCATACACATAAAATAAATTACTAATAAAATCAAAACAAAGGCCTGAAGAAGTTACAGAGGGTGGCTTTCTTCTTTCCTTTTGTGTTTGGCATTTTTGGTGAATTACTGGAAGATGGCATCTGTGGCCCAAACAGATTTCTATAACTGTAGCTGTTACTCCACACACAGTCCTGGCATCAGAACTAACACAAGCTGCTCTAGACGAGACTTCAGGTTGGAGTGAAAGTGTTTAGAGGGGCCCCTAATTTAGTTCATAGTCAACCTAATTCATCTCTGATTCCAGTTTGGAAAACCTGGCAGGGCCTCCTTTCAACAAGACTGAAGGCAGAGATGGGTAGGGTAGCCCATGCAGAAGCACAGATAGCTGGCACATCGCTCTAGAATGGTCCCCAGCCCCCCTCACAAAGCGGTTTGGGTTATTTGACTCTGGTCCCAAGGTAGTACTAAAGTGCTCTGCGTCTTGTCCACCATGCACATTTTTTAAACCCCCCCCCCCCTTTTTTTGGTTTTGTTTTCCAAGACAGGGTTTCTCTGTAGCTTTGGAGCCTGCCTTGGAATTAACTCTTGTAGACCAGGCTGGCCTCAGACTCACAGAAAACCACCTGCCTCTGCCTCCCGAGGGCTGGGATTAAAGGTGTGTGCTACCACTGTCCGGCTTAAAATGTCTTTTTTTTTTTTTTTGAGACAGGGTTTCTCTGTATCACCCTGGCTATCCTGGCACTTGCTCTGTATTAACAGCTGGTGGGGATGGAGTCAATCCAGGCCTTCATAGGAGGCAAGTGCTCTCTGCAAATGGAACTACAGCATTTTTGTCTAGACTGCCGTGCCGACACCCTGAAGTCTTCAGGTCAAACTCAGAACTGTTCAGAAAGCCCAGGGGGGAACGGTTTCCAAACCTTTATTGCTAAGCACGCTCCCTTGCTGCGATTTACCTCAGAAAGTAACTTTGCCGCTTTTCCTCCCTCTTCCTGTCTCCCCTCATCTATCTCTCTCTCGCCTTCCCTCATCACTGAAGATGCTGATGTTTACGACTTCTTTCTTTTTTTAAAAAAAAAAGATTTGTTTATTAATTATGTATACAGTATTCTCAGTATTCTGTCTGCATGTATGCCTGCAGGCCAGAAGAGGGCACCAGATCTCATTACAGATGGTTGTGAGCCACCATGTGGTTGCTGGGAATTGAACTCAGGACCTTTGGAAGAGCAAGCAGTGCTCTTAACCACTGAACCATTTCTCCAGCCTTACAACTTGTTTCTTGTTATTGTCCTTTCAAACTCCAATAAGATTGTCTTTGGTGTTTAAAGACAAAGGAAGAGAGAAAAAGATATACCAAGAGGCAGGCTTTGGAAGACTCACCTCCCACAGTGGACACATTCGCTAAGGGGTTGCATTGCAACACCCCTACAGAGAATGTCACCATGACGATGCCACCGTTCTTCTTCTGCAAAGATGGTCAAAAGGACACTCAGCTTGGCGCCCCAGCATAATTATGTGTCTACCTCCACCCTGTGAGAAAGCTTTGGGGGGCAGTGTCAATGAGCAAGACTTAACTCTATTTTAAGTGATGTCTTGGCCCTAAACTTGAGGGGTATAGGAATAATTATCTGCAACAACCTCCTCACCCCACAACAGAGAATTTGGGCGCAATGGACTGTGGGTTTGTGAGGCAGTGAATGCTCAGTCTGGGGGGCTGAGGGAATGGAGGGGACAAGTTTCAAGTTCAAAGCCTCCTGGTTTGAATTTCTCGATTTAGGTCCCAGGGCTAGAAAGTTTCTCACCAGAAGCCTCAGGATGTCATCAGGAAGATTCCGAGCATTTCTGCACACACCCCTGGCAGCCGAGTGGGAGAAGATCACAGGTGCCTGTGACACTTCCAAGGCCCGCCGTGCAGTAGCATCCGAGACATGGGACAAATCAACCATCATACCCAAGCGATTCATTTCTGCCACCACTTTCTGTGAGCGCAGGTTAGGAGGAAGTCTCAGGGGTACATACATACATGCATTAGTCATCCAGGAAAGGGCACATGCAGGGCACATAGATGCATGCATTAGTCATCCAGGAAAGGGGTACATGCAGGGTACATACATGCATGTATTACTCATCCAGGAAAGGGGTACGTGCAGGGTACATACATGCATGCATTACTCATCCAGGAAAGGGGAACATGCAGGGTACATACATGCATGCATTACTCATCCAGGAAAGGGGTATATGCAGGGTACATATATGCATGCATTACTTATCCAGGGGTATGTGCAGGGTACATAATGCATGCATTACTCATCCAGGGAAGGGGTATGTGCATTTGCGTGGAGTATCACTCAGAGTCCTTACTTCGCCAAAGCTGGTCAGTCCTTTGACTCTGCTGTAGAATGAGTGGACGTCCTTAGATGAGCTCTCTGCCCTGCAGGAAGGCAAGAGGCAAGCTAATTGGTGGCCATGCCCTCCAAACTCTTCATTCTTGCAACCCTAAAGAGCTAACTAAAAAACCCCAATTGCCTGGCAAAAGGAGGAATCCCAATCTTGCCTTATAAACCCCAACTACCAGCCCCTGTATGCGAGTCCCAGGCGGTATCGGTAAACCTTGGTCTGTGTCCACAAGGGCAGCTTTCTGCTTCAGCGGGCTTGCACCATCTGCACTGTGCTCACCAGGGTGTATTGCAGGTGTGTGTGAGCGTCAGGTAGCGCACCCCCAGCTGGTAGAAACTTCGAAGCACGGAGAGGCTGTTATCTAATGAGTGGCCGCCCTCCACACCAATGAGGCAGGCCAGTCTCTGGGTGCTGTTCAGAGCTGTAGGCACGGGTCAGATGATTATGTCCAGGAGTAGTAGCTTCATCCAGTCCCCAATACCCTAAAGAAGTCCACTTACCCTTAACCGAGGTCACAAGCTCCAGCTCAGAATAAGAGGCGCACATTCTGTGAATGAGGTCAATCTGTTCCAGTGTGAGGCGCAAGGCATCCCTGTCCTGGGTCTGGCATGGTACGTAAGCGGACCAGAACTGGAGGCAAAGTCAGGGGTTGACTTTGGGCCCTTACAGCTGACAGACTTGTGGGTCTAGAGGCCACATATAATAAACGTGATGCTTGCTCTGTGGTACTTCATACCCACTTGCTGGCTTGCTATTGACCCCTCTAGCCACAACGTCATATTGTTTTTTTAAGTCACTATAGTAACAGACTTCCCATCTGACTAATGTCATTTCTGGGGTCCCAATTTCTCCAGCCTTCCCCAGCAACCATGCTAGTATTTGTGTGTGTGTATGTATTACCTGGGCTCCCACAAAGCCATTTCTCAGCCTATTCAGGCTTGTCTGGCCATAGGTGAAGTTTCTCACGTCAGCATCCTTTAGCCCACTCCAGTAAAATTGCCTCAGGACAAGAGGAAGGTCGTTGTGACTGCATGAGAGTCAAGAAAGAGCTTAGCTCAAACAGAATTGGTTGGATGGTACCCATCCTGAGTGCCTGTAATCCCAGCACTCAGAAGGCTAAGGCAGGAGCATCATTTAAAGTTCCAGGTCATTCTAGGATACTTGGTAAGTTCTGGAGCAGCCTGGGCGCGAGAGAGGGACACACACACACACACACACACACACACACACACACACAATGCTCAGAGAACACATGGCTCTACCTCTTTGGTTTCCAGGTCTAGCAGAAATATTCCGCTACTCCTAACCCACGTTACCCAGACCATACTGAGATGCCCTAAAGCCTGGGCTACCAGAGAAGGAGTAATAGAGAAAGGCCAAACATTGTTGATAGGGGACAACATGTAGAAGTGGATAGTAGGAGAGGACCGGCAGGTTTAGAGCCCTCAGGAGTATGCTCAGCCCGGTTTCACCCCAAGCCATCCTTTACCTACCCGTCTACAAGAGGGAAGTCTTGCATCAGGGCTCTCGCGCGATCTCTCAGGTCTGGAAAATTGGAGTTGCCGGCACTGGTTGGGGTGCTGGAGGTGCCGTCGGGCTTGGTGAGGACTCTGGGAGTACTTGGTGCTCCAAAGATGCCAGATCTGGTTTGGGTCCCTGCTAGAGGCTGTGAAGGCCCTAACAGGAGCAGCACCAACAGGAACACTGAAAGCATTGGGCCGGGCATCCGGTGACCCTCGAGGCCCGTGGGTCGCATCTTGCTCAGGGCGGGGCAAGCGAGCGTAGGTGAACGTCTCAAAAGCCTGAGAGGGACAGATCGGAGAGACCGGGTCTAGTGAGGAGTTTGAGGTCAACGGATGCGGCGGCTCAGCACAGCCGCCAGGGGGATCTACAACCCAATTATCCTAATCTCTAAGGGCACTTCCGCAGGGCAGGGTAGTTGAATCCGACAGCACTCAGTTCAGCTCCTCTCTGGGCGTCCTTCGTCCCATGCCTTCTTCCCTGTTTACTGTTCCCAGGGAGCCAATCCCAGTGACTTCCTGGCTGTTTCTAGGGATTGCTCTCCGAGAAAGCGGCCCTGTGGTCTTCTTTTACACAACGAAAGTGAGCTCTTGGCAAGACCACATCGTGTCCCTGACTCCCAGCCTGGGAACTACTCAGAGCACACACACACCTCCATACCCCAAACCCCTTCTGTCATCATTCAGGGTGACGGCTCTCTTCTCTGTTGATGCTGTACCCGCCCAGAACTCTCACCATGACCCATCAGAGATGAGACCTGAATGCGCACTAAGTGGTGCTCATTCAGGGAACACTCACTTAGTAACACAGGCACAAAGTCGATTAGCTAGTGAAATGGAAGGGAATGAAATACTTTCCAGGGCAGCAGAACCCCATCCCAGCACCTTCTTCCCCGGGACTGCAAACTTACCTCCTCCCTCAGTGCGGAAGCCAGGGCAGAAGTAAGAGTTCTAAGGCCTGGGACTTGTGTCTAGTGGCTTTGTACACCTTATCTGTGGCTCTTGTGGCCTGAGCTCTGCCAGAAACTGCGGGGGCTTAGTTTCCTTCCTTGCAAGCCCCACCCTGTTCCCAGCCCTCACCCTTTCTCTTCTCCAGGAACACCCCCAGCCGCAGAAACATACAGGCACACACATACACGCGAGCAAATGCACGCACGGGGCGTGCGTTTTTGTAGAAGTCCAATGACGGGACTTTAAATGACATAAAGCCCCTTCAAGAGCTCTGCTCACTCTCCACCAGAAAACTTTGGCTGTTCCTGTCAACCACTCAAGGTTCTGTCGTGATCCCTGCCGCTAGTGGAGCGGCTCCATTTTCTGGAACCTTCCTCAGGTGACATAAGCACTTTGGATATATGAAAAGCCCCCCCCCCCTTTTTTTTTCCTTGGTTTATGTGGTAGAGAAGCCCTCTTAAAAAAGGAAATGGAGGCTGGACATGATACCAAATGCCTTTAACTCCAGAACTTGAAAGGCAGAGGGCAGAGGCAAGCAGCTGTGCGTTCAAGGCTAGCCTGGTCTACCTAATGAGTAGACCAGATAGAGTTAGTTACAAAGCGAGCCTTGTCTCAAATGAATAAACATTAAATAAAATTTAAAGAAGGAAATGAGAAAACTCTTTGAAAGGTAGACAGAAATCTTGGACTACCCAGCAGGGATGGATTTGTGTTTTGGGGACTGCACACTAGTGCCTGCTGTCTGTGATGGCTCTGCACTCAAGGCCGTCAACTCCTGGCCTGCTGCTCACTGGTAGGCCCACTACAGAATGTGTGTTCCTTTAGGGTCAGGCCAGGGCACTTTTCTGCCCATCCCGACTCAGGCCCAGCTCCTTTCCTTTCCCTTCCCCCACTGCCAAGAGGCAAAAGGGAAGAGAAACTCTTAGACACGCTGGTCTCCTATCACAGCTGTGGGTTTGAGGGTAACCTCCTGTTTGTTCCATTCTTAATAAGCCCCAGGAAGCTGAGGGGAAGAAAAAGAAGAGGGCTCCAAGTGTCCTCCTCAATCACTCTACGTCTTATTTTTTGAAGCAGGGTCTCTCACTGAACCTGAAGCCCACGGTTTCAGCTGCCCTGACTGACTGGCTAGCCCCAGGCATCTTCCTTCCTCCGTCCCTCCCTGTCCGATGCTGGTATTATATCAGCGCCTGATATTTCCCCTGTGTGCTGGGGATCCGAACTCGGGTCCACATGTTTACACTTTACCAACTTAGCTATTTCTCCCACCTCCGCTACAAATTGTTTTTGAAATTTTTTTATTACATTTATTTACTTACTTTCCTGTGTGGGTACATGCGTGGAGGTCAGAGGAGAACTGGCAGGCATTGTTCTCTCTTTTCATCACGTGTGTGTCAGGAATCAAACTCAGGGTGTCAAACAAGCACCATCACCTGTTGAACTGTCTTGCTGGCCTTATTTTGTTTCAAAAAGTTTTTTTTAATTTACTTTTTATTATTTTGTGTGCATGAGTATTTTTCTTGCATGTATGTCTACCACATGCATGCCTGGTGCCCTCAGAGGTCAGAAGAGTGCACTGGATCCCCTGGAACTGGAGTTACAGATGCTTGTGAGTCACCATGGGGGTGCTGAGATTTAACCCTGATCCCCTGGAAACAACAAGGGCTATTAACCTCGGAGCCACCTCTCCAGACATGGCCGGCCCTATTTTAAAGCAAACCATAGGGCTGAGATCCAGCTCAGTGTGACTCCACCTCTGGGGGAAAGCCCACCAAGCAGTGACAACTCCCCAGGGAGGGTCAGGACCACTCCCACAGGCTATTTTGGCTGCCCCACAGAGAATGAACACATGGTCTCTGGGTTTCACATGGTCTCCCCTTCTCTCTCTTCCCCCTCACCAAGCTTTCCAGGTGCCATCCGGGAGCACTGCATTAAACATGGGCATCTTTTATTCCATCTGATTTGGTCTGATTGAAATTATTTGCATCGATGGAGAGGGAATATTAGAAATGTTCCTAATAGGTGGCAGGCACCTTTACCTACCTGCTGAACAATCTGCCCTCCCTAGTTGTTTTTTGTTTTGTTTGTTTGAGACAGGGTGTCTCTGTAGCCCAGGCTGGCATGGAACTTACTATATAGTCTGGGTGATTCTCAAATTCACTGCAATTCTCTTGATGCCTCAGTCTCCCAAGTACTAAGATTACAGATATATATCACCATACTAGAGTCTCCCAAGTGCTAAGATTACAGGTGTGTGTCACTATACTGGACTTCACGAAACATCTTTATTGCCCCAAACTATCATGTTCAAATCTTCATGATTCCCTACTTTCAAGAATTATTTGAATTTTAGTGTAAAAATGATATAGCATATTGAATGTGGTTGTCATGGTTTAGTTTGAGTTCTAAAGAGAATGAATGCTTTGAAATTGACTTACTGAAAAAAATTGCTGGTTTTGTCTTTGGTGTTTTCCATGTTTTTGAGTTTACTAATTATATTCTATGGTATTTGGTGTGTTTCTCTGCTCCTTGTTTCTCCTATAAACTGGAATATGTGAAGAGCTTTTTCATTTTTACTTGTTTTATTTAGAGGTATAGAAGCTCTCTGTATTACCATACCCATCCTGTCCATCAACTTGTAGTCTAAACAGTCCTCTCTCCTCAGCCTCTGACTAGCTAGGGCTTCAGGCATGTACCAGGAAGGAATTTCTTGTTTGTTTTGAGACAGAGTCTTCCTATGTAGACCAGGTTGGCCTGGAACTCAGAGACTTACCTTCAGTGCTGGGGTTAAAGCGTGTGCCCCTACACCCGGAACATAGGAAGCTCTTGAAGCTGTATTTCCAGGGCTTCACCTTCAAAACTTTTGCTGATTCGATGTTTAAATCTCCTCTTCTCAAGAGTAGGAAACCAGAAAGAAGGTGTACCCTGGGGATCCTTGTAGGCACAGGACTTTAGAAATCGGTTTCTCTGTGAAGGAATTTACTTCAGGGGAGCAGGAGGGCTTGAAGCTTGGTCTTTAACTTCAAGTCCAACATTGGTCACAGAAAATCACTCTCTTGGACAGGAGGGACCTCCTGAAAGCAGTGATGGGCTGGGATTAAAGGAACCCGTGAGCCTCACGCGTGGGGAGGTATTCGCTGTACTTTTCCACAGTGTTCTTGCCCCTGGCAGTAGGTCTCCCTGGGGCTCTTCATCTGCCTCTTGAGCCATTAGGCAGGAACCTCAGTTAACTGCTGCTTGTTTCCTCTAGTTTTCGGAAGCGCAGCCACACCTGTCCTGTGCTGCTGGCTGCTGGCATGGTGAAGAACAGAAGTCTACTCACAGAGAGAGCTCCAGCCTGGCCCCTCTGTGTCCTCTCTCTGTGCTTGTCTCCTCCGCTCACAGCCGACTGTCCCTTTTTGTTGCCCAAGAAGACGCTAGAGGACTGAAAGAGGGGGGCTGTTCAGAGCAGTTAATCCCCTCTGAGGCTCCTTACTCATGGCTATTTGGCAAGCAAGCAGATTCCTGACTAGAGAGGACGCAGGCAGAACAGCTACATTAGTGGTCAGTGGAGGTCATTGCTGAAGAGGGCTCAGTCATCTGAGGCAGCCACTGGCCTGTCCTCTGGGCACTGATGCTCAGGCAGCGTGCTTCTGTGGGGCTACCCCTTTGCCACCATGCTTCATTTTAAGGCGAGGAATTTTGGCACTAGGACACCCCAGATCTTGGTCTGACTCCTCCTGAACTCTCTGTCTCTTGCGAGCCCGCCTGGGTGCTGGTTTCTCTTCCTCAGCTTTTGCCGGGGTGGCCAGCGGAGCATCCCCATAGACACGATAGCCTCCAATCAGGCAGTATGTCTCTCCATGCCAGGCTATCTGGGCTTGTACGTGCTCTCTGTAGAGGACATGGTAGTATCCAGGGGAAGGGGGGGCTGCGGGAGGCACCGGTGCTGCAGAGAAAACCAGAACTGATCAGTCCCTTTTGCTCTGTCCTCTGTGCTGCAGAGCCCTTCCTCTCAGGCCCCTTTCTGTCTCTGCCCAAAGCCCTCCTATCTGCTTGGCATCCCAGACACAGCCTTGCCTGTCACTGCCGTGGGTCCCCTTGGAAGGGGGCTTCTGTAAGAGCACTTGGTTTCCTGGGGAGCCAGTGGCAGCTGTGTGAGGCCTGCGTGTGTGGCCCATCTCCATAAAGAACGGTAGACCCTCGAGCTAGCTACAGCTGAGACCCCCTTAGTTTCTCCTCCCACAAATGAGAAGGATTTCTAAAAGCCTGCTGTTTCTGGGCTGTAATGAGTATGTTTGGAAAAGCAGATATTAGCTGTAAAAAATAATCATGTTATAATCCACAGACTCAGGGAGACCAAGTAACAAGAAGTTCTCAAGGAGGGGGGGCATATAGTTCTCCCTGGGAAGGGGAACTGGAATAGATTTTTCAGGAGGGATCAGGTAATGGTGGGTGCTGGGGGAAGATAATACTGGGAGAGATGATTGAGATTGGGAGACATTTTGGCGGTGAGGTAGAAACCTCGGGCAATGGAAACTCCTTGGAATCTACAAGGGTAACCCTAGCAACGACTCCCAGTAATGGGGGATATGGAGCCTGATTCATCTTCTGTAACCAAGCAAGCCCCCCCCCCCCGGTGGAGGGCCTGGGATACCAAACCAGCCTCAAAAACTTGGACCTACAATTTGTCCTCCTTGTAAGATGTGCTGGGGAAGCTAGGCGGTGTTGGCGCACACCTTTAATCCCAGCACTCAGGAGGCAGAGGCAGGTGGATCTCTGTGAGTTCGAGGCCAGCCTGGTCTACAGAGTGAGTTCCAGGACAGTCAGGGCTATTATATAGAGAAACCCTGTCTTGAAAAATAAAAACAACAAAACAAAAGATGTGCTGGAGTAAAGGTGGTGCAGAAGTTGTGGGATTGGCCAACCAATCAATGACTGGTCCAACTTGAGACCCACACCATGAGATGGTGCCCATGCCTGACACTTCCTGGATGGCCAGTAAGCAGAGGTGGGATAGCACAGCATCCTAGGATAGAACCATACACAACTGGCAAAAAAAGAAAGTCAATGGAATGATTCCTAATGATATTCTGCTATATGCATAACATAATTGTCACCAGAAAGGTTTCATCCAGCAATGGATAGGAGCGCATACAAAGACCCAGGGAAGAGGGAGAGAAGGATTGTAGGAGCCAGAGGAGTCAAGGACATCCTGAGAATATGGACCACAGAGTCAACTAACCAGGGTTCCTAGGCACTCACAGAGACTGGACAATAATCAGGGAGCCCGTGTGGGTCTGAGCTTTGTGTATATGTTATGGTCATGTACCTTGGTGTTCTTGTGGGACTCCTAACAGGGGGCACAGGGGCTATCTCTTGTTTGCCTGCTTTTGGGACCCCTTTCCTCCTACAGGGTTGCCTTGTCCAGCCTTGATATGAGGTTACGTGCCGTGCCTAGTCTTACTGCAATTTGTTATGCTGTGTTTGGTGGACATCCCTGGGAGGCCGGCTCTTTTCTGAAGGCAAACAGAGGAGGGGTGGATCTGGGGGAGAGAGACTGGGAGGAGAGGAGGAAGGTGAGGCTGAGGTTGGGATGTAGCATAAGAGAGAAAAAAAGAGTGGTATTTGAACTTCTTAACCACCGAGCCATCAATTTGCCAGTTACTTGAAAAACAAACAAAAGAAACCTCCCCCCGCCAAAGAAAAAGAAAACAAGGTAGATAGGTGTGCTGGTGCACACCTGATTTTAGCTCCTGGGAGGCAGAGGTTAGAGGATTGTCACAAGTTGGGGCCATGCCTTATCTACATGCAGAGTTGTAGGCCAGCTGAGTTACATACTGACATTGTCTCAAACAAAAACAAAATCTATGTGTATAGCAGAATATCGTCAGGCATTATTACATTGACTGCCCCCTCCCCCACAAGTCATGTTTGGTTCTATCCAAGTCTCTGAGTCATCCATCCTCTGGGTTCTGGTGTCCAGGCAGTGTCGGGGTGGGCTTACACTCCTGGCATGGGTTTTAGGCTAGACCTGTCATTGGTTGGCCACTCCCTCGATCTCTAGGCCACCCTTACCCCAGCACATCCCATAGGCAGGACAGACTGTAGGTGGAAGGTTATGTGGTTGGGTTGATTTCCCACTTGCTCCACTTGAAGTCTTGCCTGGTTACAGGAGATAGCCAGTGGCTCCTTATCCACTGTTGCTAGGAGTCTTAGCTGGGGTCATCCTTGTAGATTCCTAGGAGATTCCCGGTTCTCTTGTCAGACTCCTGGTAGTGGGAACAGTGGCTATCTGTGACTCTTTTACTGGCTTTTGGGACTTACTCCTCATACTGGATAACCTTGCCCAGTCTTAAAACATGGGGAGGTGCCTAGTGTTACTGAAGATATGCTGTGTTTTGTTGAAACTCACAGGAGACCTGCCCTTTTTAAATAGAAACTGAGGAGGAGTGGATTGGGGGTAGGTGGGAACAGAGGGGTGGAGGTAAGGGGAAGGGACTGGGAGGAGAGGAGGGAGGGGAAACTGTAGCCAGGATGCAAAACAAACAAACAAACAAATAAATAAATAAATAAATAAACATACCAAGAAAACAAAACAAAAGTGCTGGGACTGGTGGCAAACACCTTTAATTCCTGCCCTCAGAGGCTGGCAGATTTCTGAGTTCAAGGCCAGCCTGGTCTACAGGGTGAGTTCCTGGATAACCAGAGTCATGGAAGCCAGGAGACTCTGTGAGGTGGAGGGGGAATCATTTTATAGCCCAGAGGGAAAGCTAAACTGAGAAGATGAGCTTTCTAAACAGTTGCCCAGAAAGGATCTGTTATTTGTCCTCAATATTTAACAAGAATACTTGGTGTATGAGTCAGTGTTACAATTTCCCTTACTCATGGTTATTAGAGAAATTCTGAGGGATGACAAGCCTAAGAGAAATATACAGTCCCCAGTGAAGTTACATGTATACCAAAGGCTCTTGTGTGGATGCCTGGTCTAGATTTACCTGAGTAACAGCCCTCACAGGGGATAGAGGACAAGTTACAATTAATATAGAAGATCCGGTCAGTCATTCTCAGACACTCAGACTCGTATCCAGTACAGAAACGGTAGGAATGTTTCCCTAAGGCATCCAAGTTTCTATAGTTACATCGCCATGGAAACTGAGAGCTGTGATGTCATCACTACCTACTGAGGTCACATATGGAACAGACTTTGAGGTTTTAAAGAGAGCAGGGTAAAGGCAGAGGGGAACCCTGGATAGGATTCTTCTACATGATCTACCTAAGTAGCCACTCCCTGGGGATCCCTGTGGAGCACTTAGATGGTTACAGTCCCAGTGGCCACTGAAGGATATGAGAAACACAAATTCTAGATTGGACAGAGTGAAGATTAACCTTAACTAGCCCCTAAGCAATAGAAAGGCAGAAGGTTGGGTAGATTAGAGAGCAAGAGGGCATGGGTGTGTTGGTGCACACCTTCGGTGCACTTGGAGGCAGAGGCAGGCAGATCTTCTGAGTTTGAGGCCAGCTGAAGCAATATAGTGAGACTCTTAAAAAAAAAAAAGCCAAATCTTTACAAGTTCAAAAGACATACCAGCTAGCAAAAATGAAAGGCAGGGGCTGGAGAGATGGCTCAACAGACAAGAGCACTGACTGTTCCTCTACAGGACGTGGGTTTAATTCCAGCATTCACTTGCTAACAGTCCAGTGCTAACTCCAGTTCCAATGGGATCCAACACCTTCTGGCCTTCAAGGGCACTGCATGACTGTCGTTCTTAAACATGCGTGCAGGGAAAGCATAAACATAAAATAAAAACCTAGACCCCAACACACAGACCACACACACAAAACCAGGCTTCTATTGGCTTTGTTCTGTCCAAAGAATACAGTCATAGAACCCATAGAACCGCTATCTTTTTACAATTGAGGTCTCAAGAAAATTTCAGGGGTAGGCTTTGGGTATAAAGTTACATTCAGAGTGCTCACCTAGCCTGCAGAAAGTCCTTGATTCCATCCCCAGCACCACATAAACCAGAATGCATACTCCGGTAGTTTCTGCTCTTAGGAGTGGATGCAGCAGGATCAGAAAGCAGCCATCAGAAAGATGGCTCAGTGGTTGAGAGCACCGGGTGAGCTGGGCGGCGGTGGCACACGCCTTTAAATCCAGCAGGCATTGGTTTGGAAAAAAAAAAAAAGAGCACTGGGTGCTCTTCCAGAGGTCCTGAGTTCTAATTCTCAGTAACTACACGGTGGCTCACAGCCATCTATGAGGTCTGCTGCTGTCTTCTGGAGTGCAGGTGTACCTGCAGATAGAGTGTTCATAACATATGAGTGTTCATAAACATAAAATAAGTTATTAAAAATAGTTTCCTCTTGGGGGGCAGAGAAGCAGGGAAGGGAGCAGAGAAAAATGTAGAACTCAATAAAAATCAATAAAAAATTACCATTAAAATATTTCCTCTCAATAAAGACATTTATTCAATTTTTTGGTTTTTAAAGACAGGGTTTCACTGCATCTTTGGAGCTTGTTCTGGAACTAGCTCTTTTTAAAAATAATTTATTTTGCATTGGTGTTTTGCTACCTGTATGTTGGTGTGAGGATGTCAGATTTTGGAGTTACAGGCAGTTGTCAGCTGCCATGTGGTGCTAGGACTTGAACCCAGGTTCTCTGGAAGAGTAGTCAGTGCTCTTAACCACTGAGCCATCTCTCTAGCCCCGGAACTAGCTCTTGTAGACCAGGCTGGCCTCGAACTCACAGAGATCCGCCTGCCTCTGTCTCCCGAGTGCTGGGATTAAAGGTGTGCACCACCACTGCCTGACAGATCTATTCCATTTTTAAAAAAAAACTTAAGCAGGCATGGACCAATAAATGTAGCAGTAATAAAAGGCTGAGGTAGGAAGATCAGTATGAGTTCAAGGTCAGCCTGGATTACATAGTAAGATCCTTTCCAAACTGCTGAAAATATGAGTCATATACGCCAGCACAGCCGGCTTTAATCCCAGCACATGTGAGGCAGAGGCAGAAAGAGCTCTCTGAGTCTGAGACCAGTCAGGTCTGCAGAGCAAGTTCCATGCCAGCAGGCTACATAGTAAGATCTGCCTCAAAAAACAAAAGCAAAATAACAAAACAAAAAACTGAAAATGAAAAAAACAAAACCCAAACCTGGTCTCCTTCTACTCCTGCCAAATTCAAACAATGAAATCTACAGGTTTACCAGGGGTCACACAGATACTGTATTTGTTTTTTAGAAAACTTCCTTTTTACATTGACTTTTTGTTTGTATGTCTATGTGTGTGTGCCCATTTGCCACAGATTAGTGCTAAGGTCAGAGGACAACTTGAGGTGGTTATCACCTTCTACCATGTGGGTTGCTAGACTTGATGCCGGGTGCCATATTCACTTAGTCATTTCAGTGGCCCAGGATCGGTGTTTTCTTCACCAAGACTATAGGTTCATATTGTTCAAGCTTGGGTTCCAGACTTAAGAGTGTTGAGAAACATGATGACAAGCTCCCACTGTAAGTGTTGGAGATCATTGTATCAAAGTTGACATATACTGGGAGGATGGTAGAGGTGCCGCAAGGGAAAACAGTTGTCAGTGATTTCACAAAGTGGGATTGGCAGAATATATTTTTTAATTAATTTATTTATTTATTATGTATACAATATTCTGTCTGTGTGTATGCCTGCAGGCCAGAAGAGGGCACCAGAGCCCATTACAGATGGTTGTGAGCCACCATGTGGTTGCTGGGAATTGAACTCTGAACCTTTGGAAGAGCAGGCAATGCTCTTAACCTCTGAGCCATTTCTCCAGCCCGGCAGAATATTTTTGTAGAAATAGTATTTATGTAGTGACATAAATGGACAACCCTTCCACTTCCCTTTTCAAAACAAAAAGCAACAGTGTTTGAGATGCAGCTTAGCTCAGCAGTAGAACACTTGACCAACACGCTTGAGGTCCTGGGTTAAAGTGCCAGTATGGCAAACAACCACGACAAGAAACAACAACAGACCAAACAGGGCTTGGCTCAGTAGGTAAGAGTGCATACTTGCAGAGGGCCAGAGTCTGGTTTCCACCACCTTTATGGGAACATTCACAGTTGAATATAATTCCAGTTGTAGGAATCTCACTCAACCTTCTAACCTCTGAAGGTGCCTGCTTCATGTGCACCTACCTACATACAGACACACATACAAATAATTCAAAATTAAATAAACCTTAAAAAAAATAAACCCAATCCAAGCCAACAAAATCCTACATTTGATGGAGTGTAAATCCTCAAAATCTACTAAATTCTCTTCAGAGGGTGGTTACTTTTAGGGAAGTGCACACAAAACTGTGATTAGCTAGGGGTAGGGACACAGTCTCCAGTCCTAGCGTTCATCAGCCAGGTTAAGATTAACAATGGTCCATGTGTGCTGACACATGCCTTTAGTTCTAGCGCTCATGAGACAGAAGCACAGTTTTTTGTGAGTTAGGGGCCAGCCTGATCTATGTAGTAAGTTCCAGGACAGTCAGGCCTACATTATGAGATCCTGTTTTTTTTTTTTTTTTTTTGTTATTATTGTTTTCTGGAGACAGAATAGGGTTTTCTGTGTAGTCCTGGCTGTCCTGGAACTTGCTGTGTAGACTAACTAGGCTGACTTCAAACTCAGAGATCCTTCTGTATCTGCCTTCTGAGTGCTGGGAGTAAAAACATGTGCCACCACCTCCCTGTCTTAAAAAGACAAACAAAAAATTGGGGAAAAAAAGGATCACTAAAGACTAACTTGAGCTAGTGACACACAGTGAGTTCAAGTCAATTGTGAGCTACATAGTGTCAACCTGTTTCAAAATACACAAGTCATTTCTTGTTAGAAACCATGACATGAGGTCCATTGAGATGGCTAGGGGGACAAGGGCACTTGCCAAGCAAGTCTAGTGAGCCTAGATCCCTGGAACACCCAGAAAGGTGGAAAGATAGGATTGGTTACACAAAATTGTCTTCTGACCTCCACACACACATATAAAGAAGAAAAATGAAATCAAGACATTATATAAAGTCAAAATACCCTTTATTTATTTATTTTTAATATGTTAGTCTCCAGTTCTGGCCAGTAGTTTACTTTTCAAATCTCCAAACAGTTCATCATGTTTTCAGAGAGGCAAGGGGTGGTGTGGTGATCCGATGTCACCCACTGACCAAAGTATTCAACCCTCTTGGCCCCACCCCAGGAAGATTCCTGTTCTAGTATTCCAGCCAGCCAAAAATCAGGCTTGTTGAGGCAAAGGGTCTTTCACTGAAGAGGCTAATCCTGGAAGGCTTCTTCTTCGACGAGCTGCCAGCTCAATTTTCTGGACTAGGCTCACATCCCAGGGATGGGTCACAAAACTGATGACGGTCCCTGGCACTTCACTGCCCACTCGACCCACCCTTCCTGCTCTGTGGATGTAATCCTGCAGAGTAGGGGGGAAATCGTAATTGACAACCAGTTCCACATGGATGCTATCTAGACCTCGCGATGCTATGTCTGTGCAGACAAGGACGTCTTGGGAGCCCTTTTGGAATCTCTGGAAGATGCCGGCCCTCATCGAGGCTGGCATCTGCCCTTGCAGTCTCAGATGTTGGATTTTGTGGTCATCCAGAATATATCCCAGCCAATTCACAGTGCTGGAGCTGTTGCAGAACACCAGGACCGTTCCTGAGGCTTTTGTCTTATTTGCCTTGTCATGCTGTTTGAGGATCTGAACCAGTTCTGTTACCTTCTCCGCTCCCTTTAGTCTCATAAATGTCTGTCTGACATGAGGCATGATGCAGTGGAGCCTGGAGCTGGTGACGGTGGTGAGGCAGTCTGGGCTGGTGACTTTACTCAGCAGTTCGTTTACGCCTTCTGGAAACGTGGCTCCCACCATCACTAACTGAGCTTTGGGATTAAAGGGGTCTTCTAACTCAGCTGGACTTTCTGCTATAGGGCTCTTTCCCAAGATGTAGTCCACAAGTTCCAGGAAGCTTTCATCCAGCAATGTGTCCGCTTCATCCAGCACGAGGAAGGAAAGATGCTGCAAGCTGACCAGTTGACTTTTCAGGGCCTTCCACAGAGCCCCGGGAGTGGCCACGAGCACATCTGCTGACGGTAGTCTACACAGCTGCAGTTTGAGCTTACTCATGCCGAGGCCGCCTCCAAGCTCTGTCACCTGTAGGCCCAGGTACCGACCCAGTGACTGGGCCACGGCCTGTACTTGCTCGGCTAATTCTCGGGACGGTACCAGAACCAAGCCTCGGGGAGCTGTGGAACTGCGGGAGTCCAAGCCTGGTCCTCTCAGGAGACGTTGAAATAGGGGCAGTAGGTAGCTGAGGGTCTTGCCACTACCGGTTTCGGCAGCGCAAAGGAGGTGACGGCCGCGAAGCACTGGCGGGATGGTTTTCAACTGCACCGAGGTTGGCCGAACGATTTCGGGTGCAGCCTCCTGTAGCGCGAGCAGCACTCGGGGCTCCAGACCCAGGTCGACGAAGCTGCCACGGGACGAGAGGTTCGTCAGCGCGGGCGTCTCTTGCTGCACTCGCTCTATGGAAAAATGATCCCGACGCGATCGTCGATGCTTCCAGCCACGCGAAGCCAGTGGCGCGCACTCCCAACGGCCCAGCGTGAGGCGCGCGGGCTGGTTCAACTCCGGCCGCCGCGCCGAGACCAGCAGTGGACCGGGTCGTACTAGCACCGGCCGTGATAAACTCCCACGATCGCTCTGTCGCTGTTGCTGCCGTCGCTGCAGAGCCCGCGGAATGCGCACCACTGGCAAGGGCTCATCGGAACTGTGCACCGCTATGTTCCGTCGGGGCTCCAGAAGCAACCGAACCGCTAGCGAAAACAGTCTCATGGGCCGGGCTAAAGCCATGATTCCCTTGATGCAGAAGAGGCGCCTGCTAGTGACGTCAAGTGCGCGACCGTGGTCTTGGGTACGGTGGCTGGCGCAGCTCAGTGTGGCGTGTGGCGCTGCAGCATCGTCCGGAAAGAGGGAGGATTCTTAGAGTTCAGTGGCTGCGAGGTGTGTAGGTTCCCATCGGGTTTGGCGACGTCCAGATTGGGGTCATTTTTGGGGAAGGTGCTCGGTGGAGGCAGGATCCCGGGTCGCCAATAGGAGGTGACCGTGGGGCCCTGGCTCAAGGCGTCAGGAGTGAGGATGGCCTCTGTCAATTGGGTGCTTAATGTCTGAGATTCTTATTTGCGGTCTTCATTGCCCCTGTCAAGCTTCCCGTAAAACTCCAAGGCTGCGAAGTGAGGCGATGTTTTCACAGATACGCGCTCGGCTAAAAGCCTGGGTGTTTCAAGTGTGGTGAGAGTCTGAATGAACTGTAGGCCGGGGGACTGATGCAAAGGTAGGGAGTCCGGATCTAGGCTCAACCCTATTCTCTAGTTCAGACTCCAGAGTGCATGCTGGTGGCCTGCTGCTTCTTTCATCTCTGAAGTAGGAGATAAGGACTCAGTTCTTTTAGAAGGAGTTTCTCGTTTTTACACGTTGTCCCGTCCTTTCCAGGCAAACCTCACCCTCCATTCCTTGTAACCCCTTCCAGCTTCTCATACCGGACTCATCACTCATCTTGCTATCCATTGACTTCTCAGGCCGATTCTGAATTGCCTGAATAGAAGTAGTAAGAAGGGTCCCGTTAACCTTATGGAGTGATTAAGCTTATCTCACAAAGCAGACTACTTATCTTGAATTTGGTGGTTCAGGTTGTTTAAACTTTTTTTTTTTAAATTTTATTCTTCTTGGACACATCTGGGAAAAAAAAATGGATGTATAGTGTAAAGTGCCTGGAGTGGGAGATAAGGTCGATGTTTGTGGATTGATTACCTGGAAGGTTTCTAACATCTGGAGAAAGTGTTTTAATTTCATTAACTAGAGCTAGCCCTTCATATTATAGGTGGATATCTGTGGATTTTTCGCACTGTAGAGTGAAAATATTCATGAAAAAAAAGTGTCTGTACTAAACACGGGTATACATTTTCCTTTAATGTTACTCCCTAACAATATAGTATAACAACTATTTACATTGTGTTTATATTGTATTAGTCATTAGAAGCAACTTACAAATGATTCAAAACATATGAGAGAGGGTTGGGATATAGCTTAGTGATACTATGATTGCCTACTATCATTTATGAAGTCCTGAATTCAATCTCCCAAAAAACAAAAGTATATAGATGGATATGTAGGGATTTTATATAAGGGGCTTGAGCATCTTCAGATTTTAGTATCATTGAGGTTTCTAAACTGGCCCCTGATAGCTACCTATTGATGACAGTACCATTAAAAAGATCGGAATTTATCTGGGCATGGTGGCACATGCCTTTAATCCTTGTACTGAAAGTCAGAGGCAGCTGACCTCTGAGTTGGAGGCCAGCTTGGTCTAAATACCATGTCAGCCTGGACTCTAATAGTGAGACCCTGTCTTTAAATAAAAAAGTAGGACATAGGATTTTATTTTCTTCTTCTTCTTCTCTGTGGTAGTGGGGATGGAAGCCAGGGTCTTGTGCATGCGAACTGAGCAAGTGCCTCCCTAGTAAGCTATAGTCCCAGCCCTTGACTGTCAGCCTCCCCACTCCCCTCCTTTTCTTCCTTTATGTAGCCTGGCTAGCTTGGAGCTCACCATGCCCAGCCCCAGCCCCTGACTTCCTTTTGGTTTAGTTCCCCTTGTCTCTCCGTCGCTGCTCTGGAATATGACTACTTCTCACCAACTTCACTGAATCCCTGCCGTCTCATGCTGATCACTGGATTGCCTTTGAATTTATCTCCCTGCAGTCCTGCAGGCTGAAAGTCCTTTCTTGACCCCTTCCTCCAGTTTCCTATTCACACAACAGACATTGTGATCCTGGGAAAACGCGTGCGAACTCCTGCTACTTCTCTACTCATAAGCCTTTACTTTGATAAGTTATCTCTTTGACGTCCCACCGAGTCACGTCTCAGGGCTGCCTCTTATCTCACCGATGCTACGCCACTTACTGAGCTTGTTATTTTCTCTCCTTGTGTGGTCCACGTTGTCCTCCTTCGGACGCCTCCAAAGTACCACACAGGCTCCTCTTTTAGGCCCTGTGCACTGGCCACCGCCTGTGTTGTGCATTGCACTATGTTCCTACTTGACTGATCCAAATCTTTGTTTATATCTTATCTTTTTAATGACACACACCCCAACTTCTCTTTTTAAAAACTGATTCTAATGCTTTCCGTCTTGATTCATTTCCTTTTTATTTTTTTTTTAATTCTTGTGTGTTGTTAGTTTCCCAGGACACTATCTAATGGTTTATTTATTTATATACTTACTGGGTTTTGCTATTACTCCCCCCCTGGACTGAACACTCTGCTAGGCAGGAGTCCAGTTAGTCCTGCTAGTCCATTTTGTTCTCTGAGTCTATGACAGTTTTGTTCCCAAGAGATCTTGGCAGTGACTGGCACTTAATGAACAGTTGTTAGATGAATGGCTAAGCATGAATCAGAGATATGTGTTAGAAGTACGGAGAAAGCCTGCCCGGGATGATAGGAGGCATTTTTTTTTTATTCGCTTATGTTTCTTTTTTTAAAGTTATTTTTATTTTTTATGTATATAAGTGTTTTTGCCTGCATGTGTACCTTTGTTGTGCTTCTGAGTCTGGTGCCTGCAAAGGTCAGAAGAGGGTGTCAGAACCCCTGAAACTGTAGTTACAGAAGGTTGTACGCTACCATGTAGGTCCTGGGAATCAAACTCAGGTTCTTTGCAAGAGTGGCAAGCGCTCCTAATCACAGATTTCTCGCCGATTCGCCATTATTTTTTTAATTTAAAGACGATTTTGGGGCTGGAGAGATGGCTCAGCGGTTAAGAGCACTTGCCTGCTCTTCCAAAGGTCCTGAGTTCAATTCCCAGCAACCACATGGTGATTCACAATAATCTGTAAAGAGATCTGGCGTCCTCTTCAGACAGAACACTATATACATAATAAGTAAATCTTTAAATAAAAAACAAAATAACAAAAAAAAGATTTTAAATTGTGTGTATTCTGGGCGTGGGCACGCGCTGAGGCCCGAGGATGACCTTCAGGAGTCAGTTCTCTCTTTCTGCTGCGGGCTCTGGGGATCAACCTCAGGTTGTCAGGCTTACAGAGCACATGCGCTTACCCACTGAACCCGCCCGCCGCTCTTGTTCTAACCTACGTTTTCCCTTTCTTCAGGCATAGCGGAGGAATGATTGGAAACAGCCTCTCCCTGTGCTACCACAATAAGCTCATCTTAGCCCCCATGGTTCGGGTGGGGACTCTACCAATGCGACTCCTGGCCCTGGATTACGGAGCAGACATTGTTTACTGTGAGGTAAGGTATTCCTGGTTTTCTGGGCGCCTCAGGGGACGGGGAACAGGTTTCATCTTTGGGTATGGCAGTGTTTAGGAGAGGGGGAGGTAGAATGGGACCTCCACTTGTGGTCTCACTAAAATCAGGAGAGATCAACACACGTGACACTGATGAGTTCAGGTGGTCCCGAGGCCCTCAGGAACAGCAGTGGGTCAGATGGGTAAATGGCCATCCTGTCTCGTCACTGCCCAGGCATAGCCCCCTGCCCTCCCTGCTCAGTACACTGGTGTACTAACTGACACCTGGAAGGGGAGAAAGAGAACCAGATGCAGGCTAAGGAAGTAGGATGAGGTTGGCGTTGGTGGCTATAGGATTTTTTGGTGATAGGTCAGTAAATATATCCACTGGCTGCTCCGGAGATTACTAGGGCTTCAGACCCAGGTTCAGAAGGATCAGATAGGAAAATGGAATTGTAAGAGTAAGCTGACGCTGGATAGTGAGGGAGTGTTCTTAGTTGAACACTTTTCGGAATTACCTGGAGGGCTATCAATGTGGTGGTCGAGATGTGTGTGAGAAGAGGCTTCTCAGCTCGTGTCAGCCCAGAGGGAGAGAACATGAAGCAGGCGTACGTTCCCCATAGACATGCTTCCTCCAGCTAGGCCACATCTCTGCAAATTTCTGTCTTCTTCCAACGATGCCATTAGATGAACTAACTGATGATGTCAAAAGCCCATTTCTGGAGATGTTGCATTAGGGGTCAATCTTTTAACAAGTAAGCTTTTTTCTTTTCCATTTTCATCTAATTATATAGCCCAGTCTAGCCCCAAAGTCTGTTCTGTTGCCTCAGTTTCTCGTTAGTTTTGAGTTCTTTTATTAATGGCCAGACCAAGAGTGGGCTGGTGCCTCTGAAAAGTCTCTTGATACCCAAGATCAGGGGTAAGGATTTTTCCAGCAGAAGGATTCCTTGACAGCCAGGAGCCAAGAAATACCACAAACTCACACTATGCAACAAACCTCACACAAGAGATTTATTGGGGGAGAAACACAAGGTAATGGCTGTCTCTCAGTGGGAAGAAAGACAGCAGAGAGCTGGGCAAAGGGGAGGGCTTTTATAGGGCCCTGAACCATGTGCAATGAGAAGGGTGTTCTCTGGTCCCTACATCAGAGGTATAGAGTTTTCAAAGACAAAACCATGATTATGGGAGACAGAACCTTAGTGGGGGATTTAGAGAGGCCTAGTAACATCTGTTTTCTTTTCTTTTGGGGGGGGTTGTTTGTTTGGAGTCAGGGTTTCTGTATGTAGCCCTGGATGTCCTGGAACTTGTTCTGTAGACAACCAAGCTGCCCTCAAACTCAGAGATCAGCTTGCCTCTACTTCCAAGTGCTGGGATTAAACATGTACACCACCACTACTTGGCAACATGTGTTTTCTTTGCGAGGATCAGCAATATCTTCTAGACACTTTGTTGTCTGGGCCATGGTCAAGGTCATGGACAGTTCCAGAAGTGCTGCCAAGGCAGAGGTGACTGTTGGGGGTAGGAAGTGTGGAAGGCTGAGAAGTGACCAGTCAGACACAGAATAAAGTTGGGATAGGATGGTATTCCTAGTCATCTCAGCAGGAACCTGGGGAAGGTGAAGCTTGCATCCTCTTCTGGGGAAAATGAGTGTGTAGTTTGACTGGCACGCAGATATGCTTGTTTACAGCCTATGGAACAGAAAGCTGAGAAGCCTGGCTGAGGGGAGGGTACGCTGATGGTTGGGGGTTGTTGTGCTGTAGCTTAGGGTCAGGGTCTCTAAGATGATGGCAAGGTAAAGTGGGAGGACGGAAGTGTTCACCAAAAAGATTTTTTTTCCTGTTTTTTCAAGACAAGGTCTTATTGTAATTCAGGCTGTCCCCAAACTATCTTGAAGTCTGGATCTTCCTGACTAGCTCTCAAGTGCTGTGAGTTCTGATTGCAGGTATGTGCCACCATGGGCTGGCTGTTCCAAAAATTGAATGCAGAGGGCAGAAAACATGATTCAGCATTGGGGCTCACAGAGCTCACATCCTCGTTCCTCAATATCTGTAGAGAAATGTGATAGGAATGCGAGCAGGCAGGTCCGTGAGCCTTTGTGTTAGGCCTGCCTCAGCACGGAGGAGAGCTGTGTCCTGGGGTTAGGTGTTGGGGCACCAGGCACGAAAGGTCCCTGGGGTGCTCAGCTGTGTGTTATCCTTAGTTTTTCTTGGCTAGCACTAACATTTACCCTCCAGAAAAGTTTCTTGGGTTTGGAAAGGAAATAGGAAGAGGGAGAATAAGAATCACTGTCTTCTGACTTCTCAGAGCTTGAGGCCTAGGGCACAAAAAAAAAAAAAAAAAAAAAAAAAAAAAAAAAAGACCAAATCCCAGAGAATAGACAGCTATTAAGTCTTTTTTTTTTTTTTTTTTTTTTTTGTGGAGACAGGGTCTAACTTTATAGCGTTGGTTTGTCTAGAACTTACTGTGTAGTACAGGCTGACCGCAAACTCCCAGAGATCCGCCTGCTTCTATTTTCCTGTGCAGGATTAAAGGCATGCACCACTATGCCCAGCAGGCAGCTGCTAAGTTTTCTTCCTAATGGTGAGTCCACATGCTTCTGCAGGATGACAGAGACGGACACAGGAGCTCTTCATCAGCAGAGTCCCTTTTTACCAAGCAGGTTCAGGGGATGGTAGATTCTAGGGGAAACCCCCAGCTGACCTGCTGTCTGTTTCTTCTCTGTCCAGCTGTGCCCTCCCAGGGTCACCTCAAAGCTCAGGGTGAATGGTGTCCCGCTCCATTGTCCTTGCATTTTGCAATCTGTTTTTATTGATAAATCTTTGTCTGCCCCATGTCCTATTGCTTTTTTTTTTTTTTTTTTTGGTTTTTCGAGACAGGGTTTCTCTGTGGTTTTGGAGCCTGTCCTGGAGCTAGCTCTTGTAGACCAGGCTGGTCTTGAACTCACAGAGATCCGCCTGCCTCTGCCTCCCGAGTGCTGGGAGTAAAGCGTGCGCCACCACCGCCCGGCTTGTCCTATTGCTTTTAGTGAGAAAGACTTGATCCATGGAGTGCTGGCATCTTGTCCCTGCCATGCCCATCTTACTAATGTCATGTACTGAAACAGGTGGTGGTAAGGGCTTAGCTCTTTAGAATCATCAGCTCCTGTGGGCTCAACTGGGGCGAGCTCCTAAGTGATGCAGTGGTGCAGTAATGTAGTGGTGTGATGCAGTGATGCTGTGGTGCAGTGATGCTGTGGTGCAGTGATGCAGCGGTGCCGTGGTGCAGTGGTGCCGTGGTGCAGTGGTGCCGTGATGCAGCGGTGCCATGGTGCAGTGATGCAGTGGTGCAGTGGTGCCGCGGTGCGGTGATGCAGTGGTGCCGTGGTGCAGTGATGCAGTGGTGCAGTGGTGCCGCGGTGCAGTGGTGCCAGGGTGCAGTGGTGCAGTGATGCAGTGGTGCAGTGGTGCCGCGGTGCAGTGGTGCCAGGGTGCAGTGGTGCAGTGATGCAGTGGTGCAGTGGTGCCGCGGTGCAGTGGTGCCAGGGTGCAGTGGTGCCGTGGTGCAGTGATGCCGTGGTGCAGTGGTGCAGTGATGCCTACGTTTATACTCTTAGTCCCTTCCTCTGACCTTTATTTTTTATTTTTTTGGTTTTTTGAGACAGGGTTTCTCTGTGGCTTTGGAGCCTGTCCTGGAACTAGCTCTGTAGACCAGGCTGGTCTCGAACTCACAGAGATCCGCCTGCCTCTGCCTCCCGAGTGCTGGGATTAGTGGCGTGCGCCACCACTGCCCGGCTGACCTTTATTTTTCCTGAGAGCCCAGAGAGCCAGAACCTGGGTATGGTTTTTTTTTTTTGGCTTTTTTTTTTTTTTTTTTTTTTGGTTTTTTCAAGACAGGGTTTCTCTGTGGCTTTGGAGCCTGTCCTGGAACTAGCTCTGTAGACCAGGGTGGTCTCGAACTCACAGAGATCCGCCTGCCTCTGCCTCCCTAGTGCTGGGATTAAAGGCGTGTGCCACCATCGCCCGGCCTGGGTATGTTTTCACTGAGAGAAGTGTAGATGATATGCGGGTGGGCGTGCTCCGGGAGGGCGGGCTGACCCTCACAGTACAGTGCTTTTTCTAACATTCATGGTTCGATGGCAGCCTGGGTCAGCCACCAATGGGGGTCGTGGAAGCTGTGCCGCAGGAGCAGCTGTCTGCGAGGCTCCACACTGTCAGCTAACTCTCTGGGAATCCTTGGGCTGGTTCAGGCCATGTAGAAGTTAGGGGCCCAAGGTTTATGTGATTATTTTAGTGTGTGCCTCCTTTCCCCACCGCTCCACTCTTCCTTCCCTTCTCCCCTCTTAACCTTTCCTCCCCTCTCTCTTTTTTTGAGATGGGGTCTCATGTGTGGCTGAGGATGACTTTAATGCTCTTAGCTCTACCTTCCATGTGTTGGTGTTGTATTAGTCAGCATTCTCTAAAGGAACAGAACTAATGTGTATAATCATGATATAAATTCTAATAATTATATGTAATATAATCATATATATGCTTGGGGTGTTTATTAGAGTTGCTTACAGGCTGAGCGTCTGAGCTAGGGTTCTTTACTAGTCAGGCCATTTACCCAGCCACTGTACCTGTTTGCTTATTTGTTTGGTTTTGTGTGTGTTTTGTTTTAATGTGGGTGTTGAATAGTGACCTGAACCCTCAAGCTTGCACATCAAGCCCTTTACTGGATGAGCTGTCTCCCCAACTTGAAAAGCATGTTTTACCAGTAAATGGGACTCATTTTTTCTTTAGGGCCTTGCTCAGGTTTGGAGTGAGAGTGAAAATTCCAAATACTTTACACCTGTTTGATGTGTCTGTGCTGAGAGACTTGGTGTGATTTATGAACAAAGATGTTTCCGTTAGAGAAGTCCTAAACTTTCCACCCAGGCCCAGCCTCTGAAGAGAGCAGGCAGAGAAGCAGGTGCTTCTCTTGTTTGGCTTGGGGACCAGAGTCTGAGTGTTGGACATGTGATAGTGTGGTGCCTAGTGCCCCCTGGTGGAACCAGAGTTGTCCTACAGGCCAACATCAGGATGAACTGCCTGGATGTTCTTTCTAGGTGATTGACATAGTTGATCTGTGTGATTAAGTGGTTGACTCAGCTCACCTGCCTTGTACAGTGGGACTCCAGGAGTCCAGACTTTAAGGAGACACCTGACTTATTTTCTTCGTGTATGTAATTGGCTTTTTGAGACAGGGTCTTATATTGTTGCTGTGGTGGGCAGGTAACTTACTGTGTTGGCTAAAGTGGCCTCAAATTCCCAGTGTTCCCTGAGTGCTGGGATTAAAGGCATGTGCCAGCACACCTGACAAGATTTATTTTTCATTTTTTTCCTGATATATGGGTGTTTCACCTGTATGTATATCAGTTGTGCGACCCTGCTCCTGGGGAGATGTGAGCAAACGCCTCTCACCCCAGATATGGAACCAACAGCAGACAACTCACAAAAGCTGGGAACTCAGAGCACACTGCACAGCCTGCAGGCAGTTTAACAGACTGGAGGGTGACTTTCCAGGTGGCTCATTTGGTTTGAGCCTCTTCCGGGCAGCTCAGCTAGTTTTTGTTTCTTCTAAGTAATTCTGGGGGTTTCCGCTCCTTCCAGTGTGCTTGGTTAATCTGGGTCTTCCTGGCTACTGGGTCTGAACTTCTTCCAAGTAGTCGAACTGGTCTGAGAGTGTCTCAGCAATTCTTATTTATGCTTGGGGAGGGAGTAGCCTAGGGAATCTGGTCAGCCAACTTGAGTTGTTTACTTCCTGTCTTAGCAAGCGTCCCTGTAGGATGGAATCTTTCTTCTTTTTCATCTTTTATTCTTTTCCTCCTCCTCTTCCTCCTCTTCCTCCTCCTCCTCTTCTTCCTCCTCTTCCTCCTCCTCCTCCTTCTCCTCCTCCTCTTACTCCTCCTCCTCCTCCTCTTCCTCTTCCTCCTCCTCCTCTTCTTCCTCTTTTTTTTTTTTATTTTCCTGACAGGACTTATCTATGTAGCTTTAGGCATCTTGAAACTCATTCTGTGGACCAGGCTGACCTTGAACTCAGAGATCTGCCTGCCTCTGCTTCTCCGAGTGCTGGGATTAAAGGAATCTTTTAGTCTCAGAGGAAACTCTTACACAGCAATGTCTGTGCAAGCTGTGGGTGTCTGGTGCTCCAGGAGGCCAGAAGAGGGTATGGGATTCCTGCAACTGAGTTTGGGGTGGTTGTGAACTGCTGTGTGAGGCCCTCGAAATGAAACCTGCGTCTTCTTCTAGAGTAACAAGTGCTCTGAACCACCAATCCATCTCCTCCTCCCATCACAGCCAATTTTGGTGTACAGTTCAGTAGTGTACACTAAATCTATGTTGCTATGAAACAGATCTTTGAGGCTCTATCTATCATCTTATAAAACTGAAGTTCTTTAAGAGCAACTCCCCTCTTTCCTTCCTCTCTAAGCTCTGATAACCCTATTCTGCTTTCTGTTTCTGTGAGTTATTCAGGTACAAGGAACTCTGCAGTACTTGTCATTGTGTAACTGGTTTATTTTACCTAGCGTAATGTCTTTTTTAAGATTCATTTTAATTTTTTTTTAAATTTACTTATTTATTATATATACAATATTCTGTCTGTGTGTATGCCTGCAGGCCCAAGAGGGCACCAGACCCCATTACAGATGGTTGTGAGCCACCATGTGGTTGCTGGGAATTGAACTCAGGACCTTTGGAAGAGTAGGCAATGCTCTTAACCTCTGAGCCATCTCTCCAGCCCCCTTCATTTTAATTTTTAAAGATTCATTTTACTTTATGTGGATATGGGCATGTGAGTGCAGTGGTTGCAGAGGTGACAAGAGGGTATCAGGTCCCCGGAACTGGAGTGAGCCACCTGCCTTGGAGGCTGGGAACTGGATGCTAGTCCTCTGCAAGAGCAGCAGGTGCTCTTCAGGCTGAGCCATCATCTCTCCAGGCTCTAGCATAATGTTTTTAAGATGTAGCTAGGCCGTACGTGGTAATGCATGTCTTTAATCCCAGCCCAGGATACAAAGGCAGGCAGATTTGAGTTCCAGGCCAGTCATGAGCTATGTAGCAAGACCCAGTCTAAAAATCAAAAGAATACAAAAATAAAACCAAATTTACCTAGCTAAAGCCAGTGAGATGGCTCATTGGATAAAGACTCTTGCTGACCTTGAACTTCTGATTCTCTTGCTTCTGCCATTTAAATGCTGGTGTTACAGGTGTGCAACCCACTGCTGATTTTATGCAGTTTGGGGGCTGGAACTCAGGCTTTGTCAACGGTAGGCAAGCACTCAACAACTGAGCTACATCTCCAGTGAGACAGGTTGTTACTAGTTAGTCTACTAGTTAGTCCTGGCTGACCTTGGACTCAGAGATCTGCCTGCTTCTGTCTCCTGGGAATTGCAGTCATGAGCCATTGTACCCAACATTCTATGCAGGTCTTGAACTCGTAAATCCCTTGCCTTCACTTTTTAAATGCTAGGTTTATAGGCAGAAACTACCATATTCTACTTACTTTTGTTGTTGCTTTGGTCGTACTAGGGAACAAATTCAAGACTACACTATTGAGCTACGTTGCCAGCTCTTCAGAAAATTTTTTTGAGTGTTTATGTAGTGCAGTTGGTTAGCTTGTTCAACCGTTTAAAAATTTGTTTTGAGGATGAAGAGATGGCTCAGTGGTTAAAATCACTTGCTGCTCTTACAAGAGGATCCTGGTTTGGTTCCCAGCACTGACAAAACGTGCCATAACCATCAATGACTCCAGTTCTAGGGTATCCAGTGCCCTCTTCTGACCTCTGTGACACCAGGCATGCACATCGTGCACATACACATGCAAGCCAAACATTCATACGCTTGAAATAAAAATAAATCTTTTTTCGAATATACAATTTTACATTTGAGGTATAATCTCACTAAATTGGCTAGACTCCCCTTAAATGTCTAACTTCTACCTCTGCCTCCCAAGTAGTTGAGATTACGGACATGGGGCATAGAATCAGAACCATGTGCCCAAACTTGACTGTGTTTTTTGTTCAGGACTGGACATTAGATGTTTAGTGATTTGAATGTTGTATTGGAGGAATAGACACAAAGACATATGTTTACCCACATGTTCGTTATATTGAGAGAAGCCACGTGGATACCATCAGGACCTTTTGATCATCTCCTTGATACACCTATACATGGAATGGTATCACCAGGCTGTGGTGTGGTTTGCTGAGGCTCCTAAGAGGTCCATTTGGGGATGAATATCTTGGATGATAATCTTTTACTTTCTTTTGGATGCCTAGAGTCCATGGCCTTGAGCTTCCACATCTGCTGAAATAATCACTGAACAAAGCAGAACAGTCTTGTATCCCACCAAGTATTACTTACCAGAAGACATCACATTTCCCTCCATTTTTAATACTGATTTTGAAGAAATCTCTTTTTCCTTTCTGTCCTGAATCTGCTGGAATTATCTTACCCTGGTGGGAGCCTCATTTCTTTGTTTACATACAGTAAGCTGAGTAGATTTTTCTTTCCTGTGTTTGTCTCAAACCTGCCTCTTTGGGCTATTCTTCTCCAGTTTAATTTTGTCCTTGGATGTTGCTGGGAACCCTTCCCTGCCTGCCCTTTGCCTAGTAATTGTGGTGGGAGGTTCTTTGAAGTGGCAGGGCTTGAGCTGAGATCAGTTTCTAAGAACGGTGTCTCAGTGTCCGTACCTTGGACGGTTCCCTTCTTTCTAGCACTCTGAGTGACTCATCCATTGTCAGAACCCTGGAGAAAACAGCAGATTCACAGAAGCTCTCTCGGGGCCTTGCTTTGCCAGGCTTAGTTGTAGGAAACAGCACACTGTGTTCCCAAAGCCATGGTTTGTTGTCGGCACTGCGGTCGTGAGGGATGCAATAAAGATCCTCCATCTGTGTGGAAGCCTGGTGTCCAGGACTGACAGTATCTTCCGATTCCTCTGCAGGAGCTGATTGACCTCAAGATGCTCCAGTGCAAGCGGGTGGTAAATGGTAAGTGTCGCCCTGGCCTCCGCATTGGGTGTGTGCAGGTGGCTCAAGCACCTGTCTCCGCCCTTGCCCAGGATCCTTCCTTGTTGTTTTGTGTAATTGCATAGAGCACCTGCTCCCTCAAGCGCAGTCACTGCTCTTGATGTAGTGACCAGAGCCATATGTGAGGTTCCCAGGCGTAGCTCATTGGTAGAATGCTTGCTTAACATGTTTGAAAGCCTAGGTTTGATCCTCAGAATCACAGAAACAAACAAACAAATAAATAAATTGGTTGTGAAACAGGCTATGAATGCCTTTCTTTAATAGACTTGATAGCGCAGAAATTTCCATATTTCATAGTGTAGGTAGGACCTTGGGGTCCTGGAATAAGGATAACTTTAGTACAGGGCCCAGCTAAGACTTCTTTTTTTTTAATATATTTATTTTCCTCATAATTTATTTATTTTTATTTTATTTGCATTGGTGTTTTGCCTGCATGTATGTCTATCTGAGGGTGTCAGATCTTGGAGTTACAGACAGCTGTTAACTGCCATGTGGGTGGTAGGAATTGAACCTGGGTCCTCTGGAAGAGCAGTCAGCGCTCTTAACCACAGAGCCATCTTTCCAGCCCCCAGCTCAGACTTCTAATAGTTGTGTGACCGTGGGCAAATCTCATGTCTTGTTTCCATCTCAGATTCTTAGTAGTGAAATGAAAATCATAAGCCTAGTTGGATTGTTGCATAAAGAAGATAAAGTACCAATAAGTACTTTGCACACCTGAAGCTCTGTGGGATGGATTAGTGTTGATGCACTGTAAATCACTTCTGCTTTATTGATGGGTTGATTGTGCTTTAATTAGCATTGTAATCTTCCCCCCGCCCCCCGGACAGGGTTTCTCTGTGTAGCCCTGGCTGTCTGGAACTCACTCTGTGGACCAGGCTGGCCTCAGACCCACTGAGATCCGTCTGCCTCTGCCTCCTAGTGCTGGGATTAAAGGCCTCCAGTGCCTGGCAGCATTATACTCCTTAGAGATCTAGAGATTTTGTTTGTTTTCTTGGGCTGTCTTTGAACTTTCTGTGTGGTGGAGGATGCTGTTGAACTCCTGATACTCTGGCCTCTACCTTTTAAGTGCTAGGATTACAATTGTGCAGTACTGTTTATTTTAAATTATATTTTATTTTGTGTTATGAAAATTTCAGAGTTGAGCAGTGGTACACGTCTTTAATTCCAGCACTTGGGAGACGGAGCAGACAGAATCTGTGGTTTGTAGGCCAGCCTGGGCACCATAGTTCCAGGCCAGCCAGAGCTACATAGTGAAACCCTGTCTTAAAACAAACAAACCAACTTCAGTATTTACTGGGTCATCACTTTGACAGGGCATTAGGAATCTAATGCGTGTTTTTGAGACCTTGTCCAAAATAAATTTTAATATTAACAGATCTGTATAACATAGAAAACAAAACTGCTCCAGAATCCCATACCTAAAGTGGAAATCACAAGAGGAGTGGTGTTTATTTTCCTGCACACTCAGTTACACAGTAAGCATAGTTCATATGTAACTGTGACTTGTTATGTCTGTCTTTCCCCCTGGGGATCTGCCTCACATACTGCTTTGCCACCTCTTTTTCTGATAGGACATTTTCTGTGTCAGAAACTATAGGCGACCATATCAGAATGGGTGTCATCAGCTCCTTAGTGGGATTTTCCCATATTTTGCTGTTCTAATGCTGCATCATAACCTTACCCATTTTGTGTTGTTCTTAGACTTTGACTATCCATGCTAGGAATTAATTAACTTTCTCAGCAAGGCATCCCTCTACCCTCCCTTTCATAACTGTTGTGGGGTATTCCCCTGTTGTGGGACATTCACCAGAGAAGACTGCCCAGACATGGCTTTAAGCCAGTAGAAAATCTTTATTAGCTAGCCGTTGCCTACAATACACTGAATGCTTTGGTTCTGCGTAGCCAGGAGCCCTTCCTGGAGCTAGCTTTTCAGCACAGAGTCACGTTGTGGGCTGACACACGTCAGCTAACAAGAACCATTAGCCAGAAGCGGATCTACAGAAGCAAGGTTGGTGTGTTTAGAGAGCGTCCCAGGACTGTGGGCTTTGGTGGATGGCTGTGGTTTTAGTTTTGGCAGGTGATGCTGCTTACATACCGAGGATCACAGCCTAAATGACATTTCCTTTTCTTCTCTTTCTTTCCTTTTGTTTTTGTTTTTGGAGGCAGGGTTTCCTTGCGTAGCCCTTGCTGTCCTAGAACTAGCTCTGTAGACCAGGCTGGCCTCTAACTCAGAGATCTGCCTGCCTTTGCCTCCTGAGTGCTGGGATTGAAGGTGTGCAGTGCCTCTGCCTGGGTCCTGAATGGCCGTTTCATCATGGAGTTAGTTTTGCTAGGGTCTGGGGCCCTGTACAAAGACTGCCTATCTGTTCCATGCTGGGATGTTAATGCAGATCCATTTGTGGGTGTGCTTTACGTGCTTAAAAGATCTCCTGTATTTTTTTTCCAACATAATATTTTTACCGATTATTTGGGAGTTTCACATAATGTACCCCAATCATACTCACTTCCCAGTCCTTCCAGGTCTACCTCCCCACCCTTATGGACCCCCCCAAAAGAAAGGAGAAAGAAAAGAAAACAAACAATAAGAAAATACAAGTTCAATATGTGTTGCTTATATACTCACTGGAGGATGGTCAGACTCCCAATGGCCAGCTCCTTAAAGAAAAGGAGTCCTTCCCCACCTGCACACCTGGCAGAAGCCATCAGTTGTGGAGAGTTACATTTATTTCAGCATGCTTAGCACTAACCAGACTGGCCTTGAACTCACAGAGATCCACTTGCCTCTGACTCTTGAGTGCTGGGATCAAAGGCCTGGCCCTTATCACAATTTAAGAGTTCTCTCCAGGGACTGGGTAGATGGCTCAGATATTAAGAGCACTGACTGCTCTTCCAGATTTCCTGAGTTCAATTCCCAGCAACCACATGGTGGCTAACAACCATCCATAATGAGATCTGGTGCCCTCTTCTGGCCTGCAGGCAGGACATACAGGCAGAACACTCTATACATTTTAAAAGAAAAAAGAGTTCTCTTCAAAAGCCTCTTGTCTAGGCAGTTACTTTTTTTGGGGGGGTCGGGTTTGTCACAGAAGCCTTTCATGAGTTTCTTTCTCAGCTGTTGTTATGCCCAAGTTCATTATCCCCAAAAAAGAAATTCCACGGAACCGGATCCTATGTGATGCACAAGAGGTTTTTAGACTACATCTCCAGCACGCCAGTACAGTCGGTGAGGGCAGTGCAGCACTGAGCCTGGGGAAGGGGAGGACTTTTAAAGGGAAACGCTGTAATCGAGGGAGTTCGAGTCCTGTCGTCTTGGGATTGGGTACGGAAGGCATAGAATAAGGTAGTTTCGGAAACCACTGCTCAGTTTTTGGGCACGAAAACTCTTACAAAGAGTCATTAATAACTGACCAGGTGTCTTCAAGGACAGGATGCCTCCCAGGAACATCTGGGCCTCATTAAGTTTTATGGCCCTGCTCCCTAGCTCCTTAATTGGCCATTTTCAGGGCATCTGTTCAAATTTTGCTATCGAAGCACATTTCTGGAGCTGAGATCTGCCCCCCTCCCCCGCCCCACTCATTATATGGCTTAAAATAAAGCCCCTTCCTTAAAATGGAGTTTGCAAAGTCAGGTCCTCATACGGGGAGTCTGCAGACCTCAATACCATCACAGAAGTAGCTTCCTTGTCCTTTGCAGTCAGAGGGAGCATGGGTCATGGACTTCCACATGCCACTGACCTCAGCATGGTCTCTGGCTGCAGTGCAGACAGACCATGGACATCAACACAGACCTCTGCCGCAGCAAGGGCCACAGACATCATCATATCCGTAGGCGGCAGCACAGACTGGACACTACTGTTGTCCCCAGTGACTGTCCGGCCCATGGACACCACTGTTGTCCCCAGAGACCATCTGGCCCATGGACACCACTGTTGTCCCCAGAGACCATCTGGCCCATGGACACCACTGTTGTTCCCTGTGACTGTCCGGCCCATGGACACCACTGTTGTCCCCAGAGACCATCTGGCCCATGGACACCACTGCTGTCCCCAGTGACTGTCCGGCCCATGAACATCAACATGTCTTCAAGAGAGAGCACAGACCATGGACATCCACAGTTCTCCCTCGGCAGCACTGACCTCAGACCTTAACATGGTCTCCAACATCAACTCAGACCACAGATCCCACACAGCCCTTAGGGGCAGCACAGAATCATGGACATCAGCACAGGTTGCTCACATCAACGTGGCCAGGGTGGCAGCACAGACCACAGACATCAGCACGGCTCAGCCAGGGTGATTGTTTGGCTGGACAGTGTGTTAGTGGACTGAGTCTGCAAAAACTCCGGGCTGCTGCACAGGACCCTGCCCACCTTACTTGACAGCAGCATGTGTTTCTCCCCCCCATCCCCCGCACCACAGCCTGCTCTCATACCTGTTGCTGATGCTGTAGCCTCTCTAGTTCTGTCTCTCTCCACAGCCTACTCACCGCTCTGTCCTCCACTTTCCCACCTCTTCATCTCGTATTCGTTTGTCATAGTGACATTGGAAACTGCAGGGTATCATACACACACACACACACACACACACACACACACACATTTGCTCAAACAGCTTTACATGGAAATATTCCTTACACTGAGTCTTTGGTCTGGTTCAAGGTTTCTGATTTCTGACACACCATCAATTATCAATCCTGGATTCTTGCCAAGACTCGTCTCAGACAGCTTGCTGTTGCCCAGAGTCAGGTGATTTTACAGCTAGGCAGGATGTCTGTGGCGGGTTCTGTGCAAGCTCCAGGCTACTGCGCACCTCTCAGCTGTCAATATCGGTTTGCTGAGCTTAATCTTTGTGCTGGAGCATGCAGGCAGCACCTCTGCTCCATGCTCTGTCTCCCAGCAGGCAGTGTGGGCTGTGCCGCAGTAGCTCCATGCTGGGTGCCACCCGGTGGGCCTAGAGCCAGCCCTATTCAGTGATGACATCTGGTTCTGCAGGACCAGCTCCTCTGTGAGCTCCAACAGCTTGTAGACGGAGTAGATGCTTGAGTGTCCTGACTCAGAACACTGGATGTAGGCTCGGGTGACAGCCTGCGGCCTGCATGGCCTGTGGCCTGCATGGGTGTCCCTAGATAGCCCATGTCATAGGTGTATTCAGTCATCTACTTTTTTATATAGTAGTCTTCTTTGACTGTTAATTGTACTTACTAAAAGGTAAATAAAACATTTAAGAAGAGTAAGTGAGGCACAATACCCCATGTTTAACAAAACAAAAGAATTAAGAATAGATGAGCCAAGTATGGTGATGCACACCTTTAATCCCAGTACTTGGGAGGCAGAGGCAGAAGTAGCTCTGTGAATTGGAGTCCATTTGGTCTACATAGCCAGCTCCAAGACAGTCAGGAGTACATAGAGACCTGCCTGTCTTATATTAAAAAAAAAGAGTAGATGAGATATGATCAACTTTTTTGTAGTTACGTTCTATGAAGTTGCTGCTGAGAACACTAATTATGCAAGCACTGAACCACCAGCTCTAAGGAGATACAAAGTTAGATTTTAGCACCAGGTTTAGGATTACAAGTCTATACCCAGCATTGGGGGGTGAAAGCAGAAGATCAGGAGTTCAAGGCAAGTTTAAGGCCAGCATGGACTATTTGAGACCTTGTCTTTAATCCTAGCAATTGGGAGGAAGAGGCAGGCAAATCGGAGTTCGAGGCCAGCCTGGTCTACAGAGTGAGTTCCAGGACAGCCAGGGGTGCACAGAGAAACCCTATCTTGAAAAACAAAAGCGAACCACACAAAATTAGATTCCTTTAAGCCTTTGGTCACATTTTCATCAGTTGATTAGTATATAACCTTGTTTTTTTTTTTTGTTTGTTTGTTTTTTTGTTTTTCGAGACAGGGTTTCTCTGTAGCTTTAGAGCCTGTCCTGGAACTCCCTTTGTAGACCAGACTGGCCTCGAACTCACAGAGATCCGCCTGCCTCTGCCTCCCAAGTGCTGTTTTACATATGTTACTATTCAGAGTCATGCTATTTAATATATTCCACGGCGTGTATATGTACACATATACATCATAGCCAATAGCAGGACAATTTCATGCCTGAATGAAGGTTATCTAGGGTTGGGGATACAGTTAAGTTGTAGAATGTTTGCCTAGCATGTGGGAGGTCACTGAGAAAGCTTAATTTCAGCATTTGAAAGGCAGGAAGGTTAAGACTTCAAGGCTTGGGCTATATAGGAAGACCCTGTCTCAAAAATGAAAAAAAGGGGGCTGGAGAGATGGCTCAGAGGGTAAGAGCGCTGGCTGCTCTTCCAGAGGTCCTGAGTTCAATTCCCAGCAACCACATGGTGGCTCACAACCATCTGTAATGAGACCTGGTGCCTTCCTTGCCAGCAGTACATTGTATGCTTAATAAATAAATAAGTTAAAAAAATGAAAAAAAAGGAAAAGAAAAAAGAAAAGAAAAAGAAAACAAACAACAGCAATAAAAAATAGAAAATTCCAACACATGTATTTTGTCTACTAAGCCTACCTCAGCTTTTTTGTGATTAGAAGCAGTAATAGAAGGGTTAGGCAAATGGGCCAGTTGTTCAGAATACTGGTTGTCTTTGCAAAGAACCCAGATTCAGTTTTCAGTACTATGTGGCAGCTCATAGCCCTCTGCAACTACAGTCCCAGGGATCCAGTGCTCTCTCTGCCTTTGGGGGCAGCAGGCACACAAGTGGCACACAGGTACACATGCAAGCAAGGCAACCACACTCACAAAAATAAAATAAAAAATTTAAATTAAAAAGAAACAGTTTTAGAAACACTACATACTCTTTATCACTATGTTTGGAGTCATTTTATTTTATTTCAGTTTGTTTTTTCAAGACAGGATTTCTCTGTGTAGCTTGGCTTTCCTGAAACTCACTCTGTAGACCAGACTGGCCTCGAACTCAGAGATCCTACCGGAGTCATTTTAAACAATGAGAACACCAATATAAAACATATAATTCAAGAAGCCACTAAGCATGATTTGTAGAGTAGTTTTTGACACGGGTCTTATGTAATCTAGTCTGGCATGAACTCCTTGTGTAGTTGAAGATGAGGCTGGACTCCACATCTTCCTGCCTCAGTTTCCCAAATGGTAGGATTACCGGTGTGCACCATCAATGCCTGGCTCTACAGTATGGAAACAAATGAGAATGTCGCCTTTTTTGACCTCAGCTGGGAAAGTGACTCATTTTTTTTTTGCCACATTTGTTGTCTATGAGTGATTAGAAATATTGAAAATAATTGATTCGCAGGTCATAAATGGATTTTAGTAAATAAGGGGGAAAGGAAGGCTGAAGTGCAGTTAGTCTCCGCTCACGCTGCCTGGGCACTACATTTAGAAATGGACCTGAGAGTGCCATTTTGTGGAGCAGTGTGGGCTCAAGTTTTCTATGTGTCCCCTTCTCCTAGCTAAAATGCTGATAGCATGTTAAAATTGCAGGACATTAACTATAAACATGCCATTTATAAAATAACTGTAAAGTGAACTATCATTACTCTGAAAAAAAGACCATCATCAGCAACTCAGAAAGCTTCTAAGTGCATATTTATTTCTTTAAGGAAGAATATATGTCAAGTCAGGTGTAGTGGCACACAGCTTTAATCCCAGCTCTTGGGAGGTGGGAGGCAGAGGCAGGTGGATCTATGTGAGTTTGAGGCCAGCCTGGTCTACAGAGCAAGTTCCAGGATAGCCAAGGCTGTTACACAGAGACACCCTGTCTCAAAAAAACAAAAACCAAAACAAACAAACAACAAACAAAAAAAAAAAAACAAAAAAAATGAACGATAGAAAAGAAAGAAAAGAGAGATAGAAGAATATTTATCTAGAATCCACTTTTTCCCTTTCTTTTTTTTTTTTTTTAAATTATTTATTTATTTATTATGTACGCAGTGTTCTGCCAGCATGTATCCCTGCAGCCCAGAAGAGGGCACCAGATCTCCTTACGGATGGTTGTGAGCCACCATGTGGTTGCTGGGAATTGAACTCAGGACCTCTGGAAGAGCAGCCAGTGCTCTTAACCTCTGAGCCATCTCTCCAGCCCCCCACTTTTTCCCTTTCTAGGTTATAGTTTGACTGTGGCTTCCAAGGCTTAGACTGGGTTGAATTTGCATCTTAACTGGGTGGTTTGTGCTTTCTTGCAGAGGTGCTCAACACAGTGGACTTCGTTGCTCCTGATGACAGAGTAGTTTTCCGTACATGTGAAAGAGAAAAGAACAAGGTGGTTTTCCAGATGGTAAGAGACACCTCCCTCTCTAGTGTCTAGTGTCCTTCTGAGGTTCCCTGGACCCTGGAGTTTCCTAATTCCTGCGTATGCCTGCCGTTGCTGGATGCCTGTAATACACTGCGCAGTGGTAGCAGCCTATATATGTGACTTGAACATTTTCAGAGATTCATTCATGATTGGCATACTGTTGGAGACTGGAAACCAAGCTGTTGCCATCTGTTCCAAGTCTCCAACCTCAAACTTAGTTAATTATAGGAATTATCTCTTTGGTATGACTTCTGTATTTTTTTTTTTAATCCTTAGGATTGATTTTTCTGGCCAAAGTGTTTATTTTTATATAGTATATATCAAAAAACTTGGATTTTCTAAAGATTAGTTAAAATTTATGTTACAAATATAACCATAATATAGCTTTTCTCTCTCTCTCTCTTCTCCCCACCCCCCCGCCCACCCCCAGACAGGGTTTTTCTGTGTAGCCCTGGCTATCCTGGAACTTGCTGTCTAGACTAGACTGGCCTCGAATTCAGAGATTTGTGTAGTGATGAGGCGAGCCCCACCTATGTTCTGACCTATCAGGCCAAGCAGTTTCTTTATTAATTAACCAATAAAAGCAACACATAGAAAGAAGGCCCACCTACATCAGATTTGTCTGCCTCTGCCTCCCGAATGCTGGACTTAAAAGTGTGTAGCACCACCACATGGCTAGCTTTATTCTCTTTCTTTTGGCATAGCTTGGCATCTTTAGGAATAGCTCCTGAATGACATTTAGATACTTTTAAAATTAGTAGCAATGGATAGACAAAATGCATAGCAAAATATTTATTGTAGAATTTGAGTTACGGGTATCTGAATACATGCTATAAAATTTTCCCCTTTTTTTTGGTATGTGGCAGTAGTGTGTGCATGCATGCGTGTGTGCGTGTGCGTGGAGTTGATGTTTGATATCTTCCATTGCTCTTCAGTCTGTTGACTGAGGCAGGTATCTTGCGGAACTCAGAGCTTGCTGATCTGGCTAGTCTAGCTAGCCAGCTTGCTCCAGGGATCCTCTGTTTCTGCCTCCAGAACACTGGAGTTATAGACAGGCTGCCACTTCTGCCCAGTGTTTTAAAATAAAATTTTATTGTATTACTTATTATTTATGTGTGTGTGTGTATGTGTGTGTACATGTGTACAAGGGGACAACTTGCGGAATTAATTCCCCTGCCTTATGTATCCCAGGGGTTGACATTCTTAGCAGCAAGTGTCGTTACCACTGAGCCATCTTGCTGGCCCCTACCTGGTTTTTATGTGGGTGCTAGTGATCTGAACTCTAACCTTCATGCTTGCATAGCAAATATTTTATTTACTGAGCCACCTCTCCAGCCCCTGTTTGAAAGTAGCCATGACATTAATGAGATTGTCTAGTTCTTCCAAGTTCTTTTTCCTTTGCTGGTGAGCAAGTGTAGCGTACTGACCTGACTTTTTTTTTAATTTTTAGTTATTATTATTTTATTTTATGTGTATGGGTGTTTTGCTGCATGTATGTCTATGTACCCTGTGTGTGTCTGATGCCTATAGAGGTCATTGGATCCTCGGGAACTGGAATTATAGACATGTAGGTGCTGGAAATCAAATTGGGATCCTCAGGAAGAACAGCCAGTGCTTCTAACTGCTGATTCATCTCTCCAGCCCCAAGCAAGCCTGACTCGTATACTTCCTGGCATATGCATGCGTGCATGTATGTATGTATGTGTGTAAGATACCAATAGGTGTGTTTGTCTACTTGTGTGCACTTGTGTCAAGACAGGTTGATGTAGTTTCTTGTGTTCCCAGGGGACTTCAGACGCAGAGAGAGCCCTTGCTGTGGCCAGGCTTGTGTAAGTTCTTCCCTCCTTGGGAATGCCTTGTCTCTTCTGTAAGCTGTGAGACCTTAATGTTACTAGCAACCCATCTTTTTCTTCCTAGCCCCTTACCTTCTGTTTTCAGGTGAAGGGTATTGGGTTTCTTTCCCTGTGGTATCTGAAGGCTGTCCTGGGACTCTCGTACCCACTATGGTTATATCCTAGAGAGCCTCTTTATCGAGCCCTCGTGTTAGTGTTTATTCATGGGATCCCTTTCCAGGGATTCTTCTGGGAGTCCTGAAGCTTTAACCCTCATGAAATGTAGAGAGGATACACTCCTTCCTGACCTAACAGTCAGGAGAATGCATAGTTGAAGTGGTGGTCTTTGGAAGGAGAGCTCAGTTGGAATTCTGGCTCTGAGCTTTGCTAACTGTGAGAACTCAGGTAAATTATCTATTATCATTGAGAACTTTGTTCTCTTATTTATGAAATGATGCCTGCTGGCATTTTAGGAAACAGCAAGTGAAATAATGCATATCATGTCTCTGCAACATGTGGTACATCATGAGTGCGTCACACCAGCGCTTGTGATTGGTGAGGGTGAGAGTAAGGAAGAACTCAGGGCATAATTGCTGCATATCACAGACTGTTCCACACCAGTGGCTAAGGGGAGGATCCTTTCTATATCACAGAATTGTTTGGAGTAACCAGTTGTGCAACTCAGCAAAGGAGGCCAGTCTATTACAACTACCACCAGTACCACCACCTCCTCCTTCTTTTTCTCTCTCCTACGTAGCCCAGGTTTGTCTCAAACATGATCTTCCTGCCTCCTCCCCTTCCTGAGTGCTGGGATTACATGTTTATGCCCCCATAGCTGGCTCAGTGTAGTAACTTTATAGAAGATATGCTTTGGCGATGGGCTCTGTGCTCACAGCACTTTTCCACATTGACAAATGGCTTCCAGTATCCCAGCTGAAATGGTAGCCCTAGGATGGCAGATCATATGTGAAATACTAACCTGACCCTCAGTGTAGCTGTCCTCTACATCCAGCTCTTTATAGATATGTATTCGTTATGTCTTTCTTCTGGAACTCTGCTCAGATGAGGCAGTTGCAGTTTGGGGATGGAACTCTTTTCTGATTTTCAGCATTTGTGATTGAGAATTAGTGTGTTTCACAGGCCCAGGAGAATCAGGAGCACAGAATCCCTTTATCTGTCTTCTATTTTTCCCCCTCAAGTAGAATATTTATTACTTTTTCTCCTTCATGTTTTTTCAGAGAAAATGATGTAGCTGGCATTGATGTCAACATGGGCTGTCCAAAAGAATATTCCACTAAGGTAAAATGATGTCTTTATGTTCCCTATAAGTATACTGTGCAGATTAAATGAGGCTTACTATACATGACAGTTAAGTCTGGCTCTGGGCTAGCTGGATCCTGCGCTGGATGAGGAAAATGCTCACAGGGATGCTGTTAGGCTAGGTATCATGGCACATACTCGTAATCTGAACTTGCCAAGGCTGGAGGACAATGAGTTGGAGGCTAGCCTAAACTACAGATGACCTTAAACTTCTGAGCCAACAGTCTTTACCTCCCAAGTGCTGGGCTTACAGATGTTGCCACCACATCCAGTTCTATGAGGAGCTAGGGATTTAACCCTGGTCTTTCAATGTGCTAAGCTACAATTCTACCAGCTGAGCCACATCTCCAGTCCCTTCACTTTATTTTTTAATGAATTCAGACTTTTGCAGATCCTGTGGGTCAGCCAGCTGCCTCAGTGGGCAAAAGTGCTTGCAATACAGGCCTGATGACATGAATTCAGTCTCTGAATCTTCTGTGGAAGGAGGTAATCAACTCCTAAATGTTGTCCTCTGACCTCCACACGTGCGCTGTGGCATGCATGTGCTCCCTCCCCACACACCATACATACACACAATAACAGCAAATACAATTAAATTGACAGCATCCTCCCTGTAGGGCTAGAGAGATGGGCTTAGCAGTTAAGAGTGCTTGCTGTTCTCCTAGAGGACCTGACTTCAGTTCCCAGCACACAAGTCAAGCAGCTCATAACCACCTGTAACTCCAGCTCAAAGAGACTTGAGCCCTTCTGGGTTCTGAGGGCATACCTACACATGTGGCCTATATATATACACATACATATTTAAAAAATCCCTTCTCTATTCCCCACCCACGATTTATTAAAATAATTCACATCAGCTTGATAATGTATTTACTACTGTAATCTCAGCACTCATGCTGAGACAAGAGGATTGCAGTGAGTTCAAAGCCAGCTTGAACTCATCCAGGGTTATATAACATGATCCTGTGTCAACAAAACAAAAGACAAAATAATCCATAATAATTCCAATACTTCAGAAATATAGACAATTACAAAAAAAGCAGGAAAATGTATCTGAGGTCTCTCTGTCTTACCCCATACCACAGCTGTTTTAGAATAATCACCCAGAGGTTTAATACTAATTACAGACTGTTTGGCCTATGGTTCAGACTTATTACTAACTAGCTCTTACATTTAAATGAACTCATTTCTATTAGTCTGCGTATTGCCATGTGGCTGTGACTTTACCGGTCTACTGGCATCTTGCTTCTTGGGTGGCTGACCTGCGTCTCTCTTCCCTTTACCCTTCCCCTCTCTAGATTTTCAGTTTGGCTTTCCCGCCTGGCTTTATTCTGCCTTTCAAAGCAGCTTCTTTATTAGCCAATGAGAAGAATACATATTCACTGCATATAGAAGGATTATTCCAATGCAGGAAAATTATTGGTAAATAAGTCTGTTGTCAGGAAACAACCATTGGCAGGAGTGATGGCTGACCAGATATGGATGCTTGTCACCAAGCCTGGTGACCTGAGTTTAAACCCCAGGATGCACATGGAGAGCACTGATTCCTGCAAACTGTCTTCTGATCTGTACACATGTATATACACACACACATGCACACAATAAATAAATACTAAAAAGTTTTGAGAAAGAGAAAACCATTGTTGTCATTGTTGAACTCTAAATTGCTCTTTGAGTTGGTGGTTTTCATTGCTGGACTTTTTTTTTTTTTTGACCCAGGATATATCTGTGAAGTACAAGCTAGCTTTGAACTCACCACTGTGCAACTGAGGCTGGCCTCAAACTCTTGAGCCTCCTGACTCAGCCTCTTGAGTGTGTGTGCCATTGATGCTCAGGTGAACTCCTTGTTTTAAGGATACAGTAGATGGCAAGCTCCAGTTTATTGTGACTCTGAGATCTCTATGGGGGATAGGAAGTCCTAGAAAATAAAACTTTAGTGCCCATTTCTAGGTTGATACATGGTTTTGCAAAAATGGTCAGAGTGATAGCTTTCGGATTCATCACATTCTGGTTCCTGGTGGGATCTGTGGCCAGACAGTGCTGCTTTCCTCTGTGGTTAGGGAAATGCCAGTTTCCAGTGAACCTTGGCTACCGTGTTGCTACACTGTGTTGCCTCCCGTGGTTGGCACCATCGTCCTCTAATCGTAAGGCCTTCTGTGTGCTTCTCCTTAGGGAGGAATGGGAGCTGCTCTATTGTCAGACCCTGACAAGATTGAGAAGGTAAGTGACAGTAGAGTCCCCAAACATGCTGTGATTTAGAATTACCTAAAATGTCTCTCCTCATTCCAGATTTACTTATGTCTACCTAGATTCTCTATTTGAGTCCCAGAGAGAAAATTTTTTAATTTATTTGTTTTTCTGTTCTATGGGTGTTTTGCTTGAACGTATGTCTGCACCATGTACATGAAGTGCCTGAAGAGATATTGGATCCCCGGAAATAGAGTTACAGGTGGTTCGTGAGCTACGTGATATGGGTGCTGGGAACTGAACTCCATCCTCTGCAAGAGCATGGTACACTCTTAATTGCTAAGAAATCTCTCCAACCCTTGCCTGAAATTTTTTTAAAAGTGACTTTGATATGCAGCTAGAACTTACAGTGTCAAATTTCTTTTTCCATTCTTTTTTTTCTTTCTTTTTCTTTATTTCCTTTCTTCCCTCTATCCCTCTGCCCCTCCTTCCCTCCCTTTTTCCCTCCTTCTTTCCTTTGAGAGATGGGATCTTATACATGCCAGGCTGACCAGTGGTTCTGGTGAGGCCAACCTGCTGTGGGTGGATGTATTGTTCTCCTAATCAGATCTGGATTTTTGGTTTTGGTCCTTTCCGTCCTCTGGCAGCGACATGTGGCATGATTTAAAGCTTCAAGAATTTCATGCTACCTAGCCCGGCGAAAGACAGCCTCAGGAAGCCCAGCAGTGGTGGTGCACACCTTTAATCCCAGCACTTGGGAGGCAGAGGCAGGCGGATCTCTGTGAGTTCCAGGACAGCCAGGGCTGTTACACAGAGATGCCCTGTCTCTCACCTACAAAGGGTGTGTGTGTGTGTGTGTGTGTGTGTGTGTGTGTGTGTGTGCCCATTTCTCCCTAGTGTGATCCTAGCAAGTGGCTGGGTCTTTCACTTTCCTAATTTCCTTCTGGGTCTTTCATTTATTATGTATACAGTATTCTATCTGTGTGTATGCCTGCAGGCCAGAAGAGGGCACCAGACCTCATTACAGATGGTTGTGAGCCACCATGTGGTTGCTGGGAATTGAACTCAGGACCTTTGGAAGAGCAGGCAATGCTCTTAACCACTGAGCCATCTCTCCAGCCCTTTCTGGGTCTTTCACTTTCCTAATTTCCTTCCTAATCTTTAATGTGCATGTGAACAGAAACTCTAAAGGAAGTTCCCAGAGCTACTCTGCATAAATCAAAAGAAAGTCCTCTAAGAATGAATGCTCTATCAAACCAGTTGTTATTTTGTCCTCATATTTCAACTTTCTAGAGCTGTTTGTTGATTTGTGTATTTTGAGGCAGGGTCTCAAGTAGTCTGGGCTGGCCTTCTACTCACGTAGTCAAGAATGACATTGAATTCCTGTTCCTCCTGCCTCTGCCTCCCAAATTCTGAGGCATGTACCACTATTCACTAGAGTGAGAATTTTTGTAATGTTTCCCTGTGAGCTTTGTAGTCCCCTTCCTTAAAGTGCAAGTGTCCCTTTAAGGCCTGGCAGGATGACTGTGGGAAATCAGGTCTAGGCTGTTGTCTGAGGCAGCACCTGGAGAGGGTTCCTTCCTACTGGTCTTGCTGGTGAACTGTCTGCCTTTCAGCAGGGTTCTTGGCCTGATGTCTGAGGTGGCCTTCTTCTGGTCTTAGATAAGGAAGTTTTACTATAACTAGCTCTCTGCTGCCCCCATCTGTCTAGACTCAAGGTAAATGTAAGTACTCATGCCTATCAGCTGCTGCCCCTGTTGGTTAGAAATCCAGTTCTTGGAAGAAGGCTGTTGAGATCACCTTCCCTCCCTTGTGCCTGGCCTGAAATTGTGATGTAGAAAGAAGATAGCGATGCTACAGATATTCATTGTCATTTATCTCTCGTGATCTCTGAGTCTCACGTTGCCTTGTTATATTACCTCCTTGACTACTGCGTGACTTATTGATCTTCCTCTGCAACTTTTTCTAATTATTGTTTAGGGAGCAGTAAAAATACATTGAATGTGTTGTGTTTTCCTTTTCTGGTTTATATATTTGTATATCTGACTTCTCAGAAGAGAAGGATTCATGAGGACAGGGCCTTCAAGATCTTCCTAGTCTCATTCTGTAGTTGGGATAGCACTTGGAATATCCCTTTACCTCAGAAAGGAGGTTGTGTCATTTGCTGGGAAGTGGTAGCACACACCTTTGATCCCAGCATTTGGGAACCAGAGGCAGGCGAGGCCAGCTTGGTCTACAGAGTGAGTTCTAGGACAGCCAGGGCTACACAGAGAAACCCTGCTTTGGAAGAAAAGAAGAAGAGGAGGAGAGGAAGAAAGCTGTCAGTGGGCTCATAACCAGGACTAAGCCTCAGGATTATATTGAGGGTGTTGGGCAATGATTTTGAAAGCATGGGTTTCTACTTATTTATTTTACATCCTGGCCACAGTTTTGCCTCCCCCCTCTTCTCCCAGTCTTTCCCCTCAGCCCCCACCCACAACTCCTCTGTTTCTGTTCAGAAAAGGGTGGGCTTCCCATTGATATCAACAAAGCATGGCACACACCTCCTCTGTTTCTGTTCAGAAAAGGGTGGGCTTCCCATTGATATCAACAAAGCATGGCACATCAAGTTGCAGTAAGACTAAGCACCTCCCCATGTATTAAGACTGGGCAAGGGGGCCAGTATGAGGAGTAGGAGGAGTAGGGTCCCAAATGCCAGTAAAAGAGTCAGAGACAGCCCCTGCTCCCACTGTTAGGAGTCCACAGAAGGACCAAGCTCCACATTTGTAACAAATATTGCAGAGTGCTTAGATCCCATGAAGGGAAAGCACAGGTTTCTAAGCTCTGTCCCTGGAGAGCCATTCAGGAAATGCTGTGGTCGGTTCTTAGAGTTTGTGTTACCAAACCTCCAGGTAATTCTAATATTTTCGCTGGTAAAGAATCCCTGTGTTCCACACAGGACTACGTGCAGATACACTCATTTCTCCCTTCAGTGTATTTAACGTGTGTGTATACGTATACCTGTATTGCCAGGCAGGGACTTGCTAGTGTTGGGATTTTAGCATAGAATAGAGGCAGAATCCTTGCCCCATGGAGTTTACATGTAATTATATACAACAGATAAATGGAAGCAGTCATGAATATACAAACTGTCCTTCTACTATGCCCAGGTCTTATAGGTGTGTTAATTAGTGCAAGTAGTGTGGTGGTGTTTGTTCCAGAAGAGACAGATGTTCCTTTTGCTCCTCTTTGCAGATTCTCAGCACTCTTGTTAAAGGAACACACAGACCTGTGACTTGTAAAATCCGAATCCTGCCATCGGTAAGGATGTGTTATTTAAAGGTTATTCTCTCGTGTGCTGTTAAATCTGGTGGCAAACTGAGCCTGCTTTAGGAGTCAGCAGCTCCTTCCTTGAGTCCTAACGACCACCTTGTGCTGTAATCTTTCTTACCCAGCTAGAAGACACCCTGAACCTTGTGAAGCGGATAGAGAGGACTGGCATTTCAGCCATTGCAGTTCATGGGAGGTGAGCGTTTGCTTCTTAGTGATGGCTGGCAAGGAGACGCCTCAACAGACCCTGCGTGACAAACAGCTTCTCTGTGTATATGGCCTACCTCTGCCTAGCTCTCTGACAGCCTCTGAATCCAGAGACCATTCAAGCTCTGCATTTGTTTATTCATTGAGTACCTTCTGACGGCAAGAACAACGTCAAGCATTAGAAACACAAGAGGAGTGGTGGCGCACACCTTTGATCCCAGCACTTGGGAGTCAGAGGCAGGCGGATCTCAGTGAGTTCGAGGCCAGCCTGGTCTACAGAGTGAGTTCCAGGACACCCAGGGCTATTACACGTAGAAACCCTGTCTCAAAAAACAAAAACAAACAAATAAAAAACAAAAAAAAAGAAACACAGAAGGAAGTCCCTTCCCCTCCCTCCCTGCCTATGTGCCTGTTTTCTTTCTTTCTTTTTTCCTTCTTTTCTTGCTTGCTTGCTTTCTAGTGCTGGGGATTACATCCAGGGTCTCGTATGTGCTAGGCCAGTGCTTTGCCATTGAGGAATATGCCCAGTCCATTTTCCCTTTCTTGGTTTGGTTTGGTTGTTGTTATAAAGTCTCATACAGCCCAGACTGGCTTCAGAGTCGATGCATAGCTGAGGCTGGCCTCGAACTCCTGATCTTCTTGCCTTCATCTCTTAATGTTGGGATTATAGGTATTCAACACTATAATCAACTTTCTCTCTTTCTAATTAACTAATTAATAGTTAGTTAGTAAATTTATATTTTTGTGACAGGGTTCACTGTACACCCTAGGCTGGTGTGAATAATCCTTCTTCCTTAGCCTCCCAAGGCTGGGATTATAGACATGAGCCATCACACTCACTGAATCTTTTTTTCTTTCCTCTTCATTGAGCACTGGCTTCTTCTTTGAATGACCGCAAGCAGATGGCTGTTCATTTAAAGACACTGGCTTTCTTGCCTACCCTTGTTGGACTGCCAGCTGTCCCTGATGTCTGCTTTAAACAGTTCTTGTATCTGTAGCTCATGTGTTCTCTATTGGGAACTGAGTCTTTTTTTTTAAATTTTATTTTTAATTATGTATATGTGAATGTGTCTGTGTGTCTCAGTGCAGGTGCTTGCAGAGGCCAGAAAAAAAGTGCTGGATCTCCTGGAGCTGGAGTTCCAGGCATTCGGGAGCTACTTGATGTGGGTACTAGGGACTGAACTTGTGTCCTCCGTAAAAGTAGTATGCACTCTTAACTGCGGGGGGCCATCTACACACACACACACACACACACACACACACACACACACACACACGGGAGAGGGGTGCTCTCACTGTTGCTCTGACTGGGCCGAATCTCATCATTGTAGCCCAAGCTGACCTTGAATTCATGGCAATCCTCTTGTCTCAGTTTTCCAAGTATTGGGATTATAGGCATGAGCACTAGGGCCTGCTAAGCCAGAGTGTTTCTGTAGGCTGCTCTCTATCTCCCTGCGCAACTTGCTTTCTGTACCTAGCATGTCCTTTTGCATGTAATCCTGACAAATAGACTTGGGCTGACATTCTTTCGTGGGGAACTCAGGGGTTTATAGGAACAGCCCAGGTTGCTGGTGATCTCTCTTACTAAATTTTGGGGTATACCCTAAGCAACAACAAGCAGAACAGTGAAGTGGAGCTGTCCGGATGGAAGCTAGGAGGGTTTGGAGGTGACATGTGCACATGAATGCACATTCTGCAGTCCTTGCTGAGGCAGTCGGCTGTAGAGCCAATGGCCTGATGTGAAATCCCAGCTCTGCAGTTTGCTCACTTTCATTTAACCTCTCTGGCTGACACATTCCTCATGTATCAATCAGTACAATTTCTGCTTCTTGCTATTTTATGAAATTGTAAATGAACAGTCTTGCACACAGTATGTAGAAAACTTACTTTTCCCAGAAGTTGGATGCAATTAGAAGACGAATGTGGGAGAGTTTAAGGAAGAGCTTCCTGACCATCAGAAATTCAGCAAATGTAGCCATTTAGTGTGGTGTAAAACTGGCTGCTGGGGCTCTAAGGAGTCGGAGGTGGAAGCTGGGTTGGCAGGCTCTTCTGAGAAGTCAGAATATAGCACAGGAGCTGTGTTCAAGCAAGGACTGGTTAGTCACCTCTCCTGCTTGTCTTCACACATAGCTTGGCCCAGGCGTCACTGCAGCATACCTAAGATTTGCTTACTCACGCACAAGAACTTTTTGCTTTTGACCTTGGTAGGAAGGAGCCCTGGGTTGTCCTGCTTCCCCTGTGACTTATCGTGATGGTCATGGTCTGTGGTCTGCCCTGGTGGACCCTGGAACGGGGCCTACCCCGTGTCAGGTGCTTCTCCCAAAGATCAGCTGTGCAGCTTGGCCTCAGCACAGGCAGCTGTGTGGGAGTGGCCTATCTGAGTGGTGGCAGCTGTTCCAGGTCCCTGGGGAAGGGCAGGGCTGGGACTGTAGGGACAGCATTTTTGTGACACTGTCTCTTATTTCTGGCAGAGGCAAGGGGTAGCCAGGGAAAAGCAGTGTGACCTTGGGCATCAGGCCACCCACATTGGTCCTCTGCAGCTATGCCCCATCTTAATGATCTTGAGAACTAGCCTTAACCTCACTCTCTTGCGCCTTTGGACAGAGTCCTTCCCCTAGGTCAGGGAGGCCGTTCCCAGCAACCTGTCCTAGATAGCCCCACAGCTGTCTGATCTGCTTGAGGTTCAGTAGGAAGGACAGAAGGATTTTAGGAGTGTTATGGCCTTTGGCCCTCAGCCCCCAGGCCCCATCTCTTTTCTTCATCTTTAAGGAACCGAGAGGAACGACCTCAGCACCCTGTCAGCTGTGAAGCTATACGAGCCATTGCCGAAACCCTCTCCATTCCTGTCATAGCCAAGTAAGCCGCCATTCTTCCTCATTTGCCTGTGCGCCGCCTCATTTAGAAAAGACTTGTGCTAGCGTTAAAAACTGGACTGACAGAACATGGAAAAACTGATACAAGCCAGACACGGTGGCACACACGCCCAGTGTAATCCCAACCATAGTGTAATCCCAAACTACGGTGTCAGAGAGGCAGATGGAAATCTTTGAGTTCAAAGCCAGCTTGACCTATATAGGAGTTCTAGGACAGACAGGAGAGACCTTATCTAAAAACAAACAAACGAAAACTCCAACAAAAACCAAAACAAATACAGGGCTGGAAATTTTGCTTAACAGTTAAGGGTGTCTGAGACACACCAAGCCCGACCATCGGAGTTCAGTCCCTGAGAGCACTGAATCCTGCAACTTGACCCTTGACCTCCACTTGGGTCATGTCATCTAGCTCCCCCATCCCCAACCAACCAAATAAATATAAAAAAAGAAATACCTAAAAACTGGCCATATGGGTTCATAGGGGTTCTCCCGAGACTGAACTGAGGACCAGGGAGCCTGCATGATATTGGCCTAGGCTCTGCATGTATGTGACAGTTGTGTAGTTTGATCTTCTTATGGGACTTTTTTGTTTGAGACAGGGTTTCTCTGTAGCTTTGGAGCCTGTCCTGGAACTAGCTCTTGTAGACCAGGCTGGCCTCGAACTCACAGAGATCCTCCTGCCTCTGTCTCCCGAGTGCTGGGATTAAAGGCATGCACCACCACCGCCTGGCTCTGGCTCTTATGGGACTCCTAACCACAAGGATAGGGACTCTCTCCAACCTTTCACTGTCTTTTGGGACCCTACTTCTCATACTGGGTCGCCTTGCCAGCCTTAATACATGGGGAGATGCTTAGTCTTACTGCAATTTATATGCCATGTTTTGTTGATATCCATGGGAGACCTGTCCTTTTCTGAATGGAGACAGAGAGGAGGGGATTGGGAGATAGAGGGAGAGGAATGGGGGAGAGGGACTGGGAGGGGAGAGGCTACTGCTGGCATGTAAAATAAATAGGTAAATAAAAGGAAAAGGAAAAGAAAACTGACCATAAAGGAAAGTGGGGGGAATGGAGTGAAAGTAGAAAGTTAGGAGTGAGGCTGGCACTGGTGTTAGCACTCTGATGGTGGGCTAGGCTGTGGGTAGGAATGAGAATACTGACAGCGAAAAGGTTGCAGAATCAGACCTATGGCAAGATGGTGCCACACCTAGAGTTAGATGTGCAAGGTGCAGGGACTATGTGAGGAATCCCAAACTAGAGCTCTTAGCAACATGACTCAACATAAGTCAGGTAGAAGAAATCCAGACAAAGACCAGGGAGCACACATCTTTAATTCTAGCCCTTGGGAAACAAAGGCAGGCGGATCTCTGTAAATCTGAGGCTAGCCTGGTTTATATAGAAAGTTTCAGGTCAGCCAAGAGAATATGGTGAGGATGTATCTTTGAGGAAGGAGGAAGGAAGGAAGGAAGGAAGGAAGGAAAAGGAGATGGATGGATAGGTGAATGATGCCAGGCATTGTGGCTCACACCTTTAATCCCAGCACTTGGGAGGCAGAGGCAGGCAGATCTCTGAGTGTTGAGGCCAACCTGGTCTACAGAGTGAAATCCAGGATAGCCATGGTTATATAGAGAGACCCTGTCTAAAAAGAGAGAGAGGAAGAAAGGAAGGAAGGAAGGAAGGAAGGAAGGAAGCGGAGGGGGGTGGAGAGGAGGGGAGGAGAGGAAAAACCCACTGGGCAACTGCAGACACTTGTGCTAGCAAATGTGGGTTTTGATGACCAGCTAGTTGTCTGTGTTGAACACCTAGGAGTCCAGCTCATCCTTCTACCTTAGGACACCAGAGACTCAGGGAGCCTGGACATTGGAAACAGGGAAGTCCTGAGGAAAGTTACCTCTGATCAGTGTGAGGAAGAAGTAGTGATGGGTGGTTGCTAGGACATATAATCTCAGAGAAAGAAATTTTAGAGGTGGCTTTCAGGGCCCCTGCTTTTCCTGTCACCTCAGAGTCCTCCCAGCACAGGTGTCTCTGGACGGGGACTGACTTTGGATGAAATAGTTGAGAATAGAGAAGTCCCTTAGAGCAGCAGGGTGGAAGGAGGGGGATTGTGACCAAACCTAGTCTCCTTATTTTCCACCACCATCATCAGTGAGCGCGCCCTTCCTAGGGTTTTGAGCTGGTCCTCAGAGGGTCTATGGACAACTTCTCTGCTTGGAGTTTTTTCTGTGGCCACAATTCCACATGTTTTGCTTTTGTTTTTTTAGTCTTATATTTTAGACAGTGTTTTACTATGTTGCCCCGTGCTGGTCTAGAACTGGCTACATGACCCAAGCTTACCTGGAAGTCATGATCCTTCTGCCTTCACTCCTGGGTGCTGCTGTTCTAGGTGTATGTCAGCTGATAGCTCAAGTTTAGTCCTACATCTTCAGATATTGTCTCCTTGGCCACTTTTCTGGGTAGTAGAGAAAAGTCAAATTTCTAAAATACCTCTTCAGTGCCAGCCATGGTTCACTTGCCAGGGGGGTTTGCTTTCTAATCACTTCATGAAAGTTCTGATAGTTGAAGGAACTTGGCTAATGCCGTACTAATGATGAATGGCAGATGTGAAAAACATCTTTTTCTGGAAACACTGTGGGTTCCATTATGGGATCTTCCTGTGCCCCTATTACTTTTAGTGGAGGATCTCATGATCACATCCAGCAATATTTGGACATAGAGGACTTTCGCCAAGCCACAGCCGCCTCTTCAGTGATGGTGGCTCGAGCAGCCATGTGGAACCCCTCCATCTTCCTCAAGGATGGCCTTCGTCCCCTGGAGGAAGTCATGCAGAAGTACCTTAGATATGTAAGTCTTTGCACTTTTTCTTGCTTTTACTTTTTAGTTTTGATATAGAATCTCATAGCTTCGATTGACCTCTAATCCCTTATTTTTCTGCCTCTACTTACTATGTGCTGGGATTACAGGCATATGTCACCACATGCTATAGAATAGCCTTTCCTAAACCAATTTCTTCTCACTATGAGTATGGTTTTTGTTTTTTGTTTTTTTAAATGAGTTTCCTGAGTACAGTTCTAGGGACAGTGGGATTCTACTCTGGGCTATGCCTGTTCCTGGTGGGCAGAAACAATAAAATGTCCTCAAAGTTCTTCACTGAGTTGGATCTGAACAGAAGCTCCAGCCTTCTCACAGGGCGATTTTCCACCTCCCTTTTCGTTCTCAAGTCTCACTAATGCCTGGGGTTTTCTATGCATTGGGTGCTTTTTATGCTGGGATCGTAGGATGAGGCAGGTATCCAGTTCTTGGCAGCTTCTGTCTGAGCACCTCCTCTCCTCAGCACTATAGCCCTTATCCGCTTGGTTCTGGGTGTCCTGGTATGTCGGCTGGTGACTGTCAGCTCCTGCCCAGGTCAGCTGTCCAGCTCTTCTGGCCACCTGGCAAGCGTGTGGCAGAGAAGAGATGTTGAGCCGTGCTGAGCCTGCTTACTAGGTGAAGGGTGAGGCTGTCACTCGTGCTCAGCCAGCGTTTGGCAGCTTTCAAGAGGGTGTGTTGTCCTGGAGAAAGAGTAGCCCCAAGCATCAACATGGGTGCTTCTGGTCTCATCCGGTACTTTCTGGGCCAGACAAGCTGAATCATGGGCCTGCCCTGGCTGGGACTTACTCACGTAGCCCATACTTTCTCCCGAGCATGCCATGGCCCCTTCCTAGGCACTGGAGACAGGCCTAGAGGAAATTCTTCAAGCGTAGGGGCTGAGTGCTTAGAGGGGGTTCTGGAGGCCTACCTGTAAAGCCTGTACTTCCTGCTGCTTTCCTGCCCAGCACCTAGCTGGGTGAGCATCCATGGTATTATTTCTGGGTAGCCATCTTGCTTTTCTGGGCCTCACTTCTCAGGCTGCAGAGTGAGGTAAAGCTATACTTATCTTTGCATAGATATACAAATTGATAAGTCATGTGTATGAACATGCTTAGGAGATGGGGTTGTACCCCACCCATATAGGGGAAGTTGGAGATTGGTTAGTCAAGATATAGTTGATCCTGGTTGTAAGGAATCTTACCCCTGTCCTAGGGCTAGATTTGCCTTGCCAAAATTTGGTGTGTTCCTTTTCTCTGCCCCAGAAGATGCTCAGCATTAGGCTCTCTTGGTAGCCTGGGGTAACTGAAGCATGGGTTGATTCTTTATACTGTTATCCCTCAGTCAGGCTGTCTAGGTGGGTATGCTGTTGAACACGAGCCCTAGTCTGATGCTCAAGCTTTGTGAGACAGCAGGTGGACTAGATGGCAGGTCTATAGTGGTTCTTATATGGGGTCACGTCGGGTGGCTGTAAGCACATCTAGTGCCCTTTGAGAGCCCCTTTCCTTCCTGGTGGAAGCTCAGATCTCTGTTTGCTGGTAACCGGTGGGCTCATGCTAGTTCTCCTCTTAGGCGATGCAGTATGATAACCACTACACCAACACCAAATACTGCTTGTGCCAGATGCTGCGGGAACAGCTGGAGTCGCCCCAAGGAAGGTTGCTCCATGCTGCCCAGTCTTCCCAGGAAATTTGGTAAGAGTACAAGGGTCTATCCATCTATTCTTGGAGACTTGACCCAGATTTGACCTCGATCCCTAAGCTATTTTGCTGAAGGACCAGGGGCACAACTTCTGGATGTGTTTGTGCAGGAGTTGAGTGGTCGTACAGTTTTGCTTTCACAGCTTTGAAGCCTTCCAGTCTTTGACTGATCTAAGCAGCAGTTTGGTTACTAGGGTACTGTTAAAATAGAGGAATGCAAAACATAGGTCTGGGAATTCCTGAGGAAGAAGATTTTCTATTAATGGGCCTTTTGCCTGCCAGACTAACAAGTGGTCAAGAGAGACAAGGCTTTAGAATGGAGCTCTTGACATATGCCTGTGTCAGAGAGGCTACTGCTGGTCCTTCAGATCAGGTGATTAACACCTGGAGGTCCTTGGCAACCAGCTCTTTCAACTTCCTGTCTGCTGTTGCCATGACTCATGTTTGGGTCCTCTGTCTTATAGGTCTTTTCTCCTCATGTTGGCTGTCTGTACCTTCCTTCCTCCATTGCCTTTCTGAATCACTCTTGCCTTCAGGGACCCATGGTTTTTTTCTAGAAGGCAAAGCTCTTCCAGAATCCTTTTTCTACCTTGTGCTATTGCCAAGCTTCTGAACATAGTGGTTTTTTTTTTTTTTTTTGAGTTTTAGAAGAGAATGTAACTCTGGAGGTCTGAGTGGTTCAAACTAGGTCCATGGTAGCCATGGGCAGTGAGGAATCAATTAGCTTTTCCTCCCATGGGTCTTCATGAGGATGATACTATGTACATCCCAGTTGTTGAATCAGTATAGGCCAGTTCTGCCATGGCTTCCTGGGTACATCCATCTGTGTGTTCATCCTTGGGAGAGAGATGAGAATCATGGGGGATAACCTCTGGAACCTTTTCTCCCCAACCCAGCCTCCCTCCAGTGTTTATACTCAAAGATTCAAATTCATTCTCTACTTTCCATTCTAGGCAGCTGCTAGGGTGTGTAGGAAGCACTTTCTGAAGTCAGACCCTGGTTTTGTTATATGTGGCACAGGAGTTTCTTTTTGGTTGGGTAATGGGCTCCTGCAGTACTTTGGATGCTGTTCCACCAAGGTTTCTATCCTGCTCCACCCCTTTCTCCACAGTGAGGCCTTTGGCTTTGGTGCCTTCTATGAGGAGACCATTCGGAAGCTAGATGCCCGGCGAGCTGACCTCTTGGCTAAGACTCCAGAGGCAGTTGAGGAACCCACTGAAGACACATCTGGCATCATTAAGATGGCTATCAGATTTGACAGGTATGTTTCTACTATATTCCAGGACCAATTGTGTAGGAGTTTTAGGGGCTGTTATGTTAATAATGTCAAACTTAGCAACTACAGGTTTCCTTGTTCCTAATCTTCAACTTCCAAAGAAGGTGCTTTTTGTTAATTGTTTTTTTGTTTTGTTTTGTTTTTGAGACAGGGTCTCTCTACATAGATAGCTCTTGTTGTCCTAGAACTCCTCACCACGTAGACCAGGCTGACCTTAAACACACAGAGATTCACTTGCCTCTGCCTCCAGACATTCAACACGTGTGCCACCTCAAGACTTTTTACTGTGTTGTTTTTGTTTTTTTCTCAAGATAGGGTCTCTCTGTGTAGCTTTGGCTGTCCTGGAACTCACTGTGTAAACCAAGTTGGCCTCGAACTCGTAGATCCTACCTCTATCTGCTTCTTGAGTGCTGGGATTATATGCATGCACCACTACGCCCAGACTTTTGTTACTGTATTATTTAAGACAAGGTCTCTTGTAGCTTTGACTGACCTTGAACTTGCTGTGTAGCTGTTGACCCTGAACTCCTGATCCTCTTGCCCTCCAAGAGAAGGTATTCTTAGGGAAGATGGTCCCTGAAAGCCCAGGCAGCCTTGCTGGGGGCATATTTTTCTAAGGCAGAATCGAACTTCACTTTTTTCCTGATCTACTCATTCCCTTTCACAACTTGGGACAGGGAGCTGGGTCTTCTGTTCTTCAGGCTGTGCTTTTCCCCTGAAGCTCCTCAGGGGCTGTAGGAAGCCTGACTTTACTCGACTGTGCACCGTTGCCTACACTGCTGCCACTCACCGGGCCAGCGGTGCCCTCTCTAGGCAGAAGCAGCCTTAGTCTGACTCTCGCCTCACGTTTCGACTCGGCTTTGAATGGTGCTCTCGTTCTTGTACTCTGCCCTCTGGGTCTGAGCCTTCTCTGCTCTCCAGACCCAGACCAGGAGCCAGTCTTGTCTGGCAAGGACTTGAGGTGGGGTTAAGAGGACAGCTGTTAGCCGGGCGGTGGTGGCGCACGCCTTTAATCCCAGCACTCGGGAGGCAGAGGCAGGCGGATCTCTGTGAGTTCGAGGCCAGCCTGGTCTACAAGAGCTAGTTCCAGGACAGGAACCAAAAGCTACGGAGAAACCCTGTCTCGAAAAATCAAAAAAAAAAAAAAAAAAAAAAAAGAGGACAGCTGTTGGGCAATCATATGCCAGAGGGAGTTCCCTGTGGAAGATGGAGCATGTCCCTTTCACCCTGTCACAGACTTACTCTGAAGCCAGAGTTTATTGTGTCTATAGCAGAGCAGATAACCCTGACACTCGGCAGATGGACTCAGTGGGCAGTAAGCTAGAGCTGTCAGCCCCCTCCATCCTTGAAAGGCAAAGTGAACCTTCTGGCCGCTGAAGGCTGTTTTCCCGGCTGCAGCTCAGAGAAACTGGGAGTTCTCACGTGTGCACTCATTATTCTAAGCATGCAGAAGCCCATCTTTCCTTTAGATAAAAACCTAGGCTGCAACTGCTGGTAGAACAGGAAGGGAGTGGGTACAAAAGCCTCGGGGCAGCAGCCCGATAGCTCAGTTTCTCCAGTTCCGGTAGCACCTATCAGTGGCTGATTGGTGGCTCTTGCTAAGGGATAGAGTAGAAGTGGTGAACGGGCCTTAACTGTTTCTCCTCCTTTCCCTAGGAGAGCATACCCACCCCAAATTACCCCCAAGATGTGCCTACTGGAATGGTGCCGGAGAGAGAAGTTGCCACAGCCCGTGTATGAAACAGTGAGTTTTTCTGGCTGCTGCCCGTCTGGCATCCAGCCACACAGTGCTGCCTGCACTGGTATCAACACCCCAGTGCACCACAGTGCTCAGCTCTAGGCTGCTTTCTTAGCACCTGAACTTGATCCCCACAGATGTGCATAAGTTACTAGAAGCAGGGCTAATTACTGATAGCCCTTTACCTCTGACCTTGGGCTTTTGTCCAATTTTGGCAGATATATCCTTGGATTGTGCTTCAGCCAATGGGACACAGAATTATGCCCACACACAGGGCCCCTGGGGTGGAAACCTTGAGAGAGTCTTGCTTCACTTCCTCTGGTCCCTGTGGCTGCTCTGTCTTTCGTACTGACCTTCTGGCCTCCAGACTTATACTTCTGGGTCTAGTGTCCCCTCTTACAGAGTGACACCTGGAAAACAAACCTAACATCTGTCTCTTTTGTTCAGGTTACCAGCTCCCCAGAACACAAGACCCCAAATACCTTGCTGTTTTATCTCTTCCACTCAGCTTTCTACTCCAGCCACATCCCCTGATCCCTCTGCCAGGTGCACCTGTTTTGCCCCCACCCTTGTCCCGTCTCAGTCCTTTGCCCTCCGGTGAACTCCTTTCTGCTGGGAACTGGCCCACATAGAAGCCAGTAGGCAGAGGCCCCATAGTCATATACGGGCTCTGATGGTCCTTTGTTTAGTTCAGTGGCAGAACTCTGACACACTTGTCATTATGGTCAATTTGCATAACTGCCTTTTCCCCCTTGATAGATGCAACAGGTACTTTCACGTGGGCGGAGCATGTGATCAGGCAGCCTTCACTTGACTTAAGTTACAAGTGCTTCCCTTTCATTTCTGTGTTCTCCATGTGATGAGGCAGGTGGGCAATCTTGTGTTTCCCTTGCTCTCCCTGCACCAGGTTCAGCGGCCCGTAGATCGCATGTTCTGCTCTGTCGTCACTGTTGCGGAGCAAAGGTACCAGTCCACGTTGTGGTGAGTTTCTCGTCGGATGCTGTGAGACTCTTGGTGTGGGGGAGTTGGGTGTATTGTTTGTGAGGGCACTGGATGATGACCCTCTCACCAGTTTATCAGAATCTCTGGAAAGGACGAGACTCAGGACTTCAAGACTGTAGTGCTGCTATTTGTTTGCTTTATTAATTGATATATTGCTTTATTTACCCAGGGACAAGTCCAAGAAACTGGCGGAGCAGACTGCAGCCATCGTCTGTCTGCGGAGTCAGGGCCTCCCTGAGGGTCGACTGGGTGAGGAGAACCCCTCCTTGAACAAGCGAAAGCGAGAGGCCCCTGATCAAGATCTTGGGGGTCCCAGAGTTCAGGAGCCAGTACTACCTGGGGAGATATGCAAGAAGCCATTTGTAACCCTGGGAAGTAGTGAAGATAATCTCCTGGAAGGCTGTTGACTGTCCCTGTCACCAGTGTGGGGGACTGATGTGAAAGTGGTTTGGGTGTTGGGGCCTAAGCCACATTCCACTGGACAGTTTTCTGGCCCTCGCCATTGCAGACGTTAGAGGTCCTGACCCCGTCCATCAGTCTGAAACAAGTGCCAAGGGCTGTCCAGCGGTAATCCTATCTCCTCTCATAGGTCTGAATGGCTAAGCCAAGTTCCCAGTGACCTGAATGTTTTTTTGAAAGCAAGGTTTTCAGGCCGCACCTCTAACTTGACATTGGTACTGTGCAATAAAGATAGCCTGACTTTCACCCATGGCCAACTGCGTCAGCCTTGGACTACATCCTGGCATAATTACTGTTTCTACCCTCTGAAGAGCTGCCGAGTTCCAAAGCATGCCTCTTGCATGTAGGGAAAGACTGGACCTTTGGGGTCCACTGGATTTTGGTGAAAGCAAGAAAGGACCAAAAAAGCCATTTTAACGGTGGGAAACCTAGGCGTTAACCATCAGTTGACTTTGCCGACGAGAAGTTCTGTGTAATCCAGAAAAACAAGGGTATCTGATACCCCAGTAAAGGGCCAGCGTAGTAGAGTTGGGGTGGGAGTAAAGGCCACAGAGTCTCCTTTGTGCCTTACAATTAATTCGGGCTCAGACCTGATGAAGTGCCTGCTCTGTACAGGGGACACCTGGGGCTGTCATGGTAGCAATTTGGCTTTGGGGAAATGCAGCATTCACAGATCACACACTGTCACTTTCCCCACCCCAGCTCCACTTGAGGTGGAAGGAAGTGGCAGATTCTCTTTAATTTCCTCCTGGCAGTGAGAAGCAAACAAACAGCTACCACCACATTTACTGGGGCCTCCCCACTCCCCTCCTGGGAGGGGTGGCCTGACCAAAGGTCTCTACCCTGCCCCACCCCACTTCCTCTGCTGTAAACAGGCTGTGTGACCTTCCTTTTGCCAGGCTGTATGGGGGGAGAATTCCCTTCTAAACCAAACCTGTCTTTCTCCCAAGTCCCCTGGGACAGTCTCATGGTCCTGTGCCAGCCGGCAGCCCCTGGCCCTGCCTGTCTCTGAATCCAAAGGTTTAGTGACTTAGGCTGTGCCTGTTTCCATGGACACCCACCCTTGCTCTTCTTTGTTAGATAAGGATGCCATGCTCCCAGAGGCCTCTCAGAGCCCCTTGCATTTTGACCTTGGGTAACTCATTTCTAGTAATCAGCCTCATAGTGGGAGAATTGTCCTCTGCTTATGTGGAGCTGACCTGGGATAGGGTACTATGTGGTATGTTTCTGCTTGCTGAGAGACTGCTCTAACTTTTCATCCTAAGGCTGTCAGAGTATGAGCCCCACTAAGGGGAAAGATAGTCTTGGTCTGATCTCAGCCATCAAGATTTAGAAAGTTTGTATCCAGATTTATTTGTTTCTACTAAACCTGGCTTAAAATTCCCCCTTTACTTTTCCTCCTACTTAAGAGACTGGCAGTAGGAAGACCAAGGCCACAGAGGACCACTTCCTTCAAGCATGCTGGAGGATGATTCTGGGGACAGGGCGTCAAGTGCAGTCTAAGTGGTCCTGGGTACTGATATCAAGCCTCTTGTACTATTAGTGCGGTTTTCCTGGGGAAACCCCTACCTTGGCAAGGTCAGATTAATTTTCTCTGCTACAGGAAGCAGAGACAAGAGTAGAGTGCTGTTAAGATTCAGGTTGCCCTGAGTGGGGGTGGGGAGGTGGGTGGAGCTCCGAGGACCCTGGGGAGAGGGGTTGGTTAGAATGTGTCCAGTGATGGGGATACCTGGTGAAGATCCTGGATGAATGTGTTGGTCCTCATCCTCAAACCATTTCTTCATTAGTATTATCATATTTCAGTGACGTCCACCTTGGACTCAGTGAGCTGCCCAAGATCTGGGACTGACTGAGAGGCCCAGTCAAGCCTGGAGCTGTGGTCTTCTAGTCTACCCTTAGCATAATTCACCTAAGAGTTCCCAGCCAGTTGGGCAGTTGTGGGGCACACCGTTAATTTCAGGACTCCAGAGGCAGACAGACAGATCTCTGATTCAGAGGTCAGCCTGGTCCACAGAGCGATTTTCAGGACAAGCTCCAAAGCCATAGCGATACCCTGTCTCGGAAAAGGAAAAAAAAAAAAAACAAAACTAAACTAAAAAGGACTTTCCAACCCCTTCCTAGGCTAGTAGTGGTTTCCACCCCTCCATGTCCTTTATTGAAGCACTCTCCTTAGCTTATCACATTAGGGGGGCTTTTTGTTTTCTTTTGTTTTGCAATCCAAGCTAGCCTGTATTAATTTATATGTATTTATTATGTATTTACTTATTGCTTATCACTCTGTGTGCATGTGGATACATCTGGATATCAAGAGGATGACTTTATGAAATCATATATCTTTATGTGGTTTTCAGGGATCAAACTCAATCAGGCTTGTATGGCAGGTGCCATCTTGTTAGCCCCTTGTACCGATTTTCTTTTTAGGGTTTATTTTTACTTCCAGCTGGGGATTGAATCCAGAGGTTGGTAAGTGCCAGGAAGCAGTCTTGTAACTGACTGTCTTAGGGTTTCTAGTGCTACGATGAAATGTCAGGACCAAAAAGCAAGCTGGGGAGGAAGGGGCTTATTTGGCTTACACTTCCATACTGCTTTTCATCACTGAAGGAAGTCAGGATTCAAACAGGGCAGGATCCCAGAGGCAGGAGTTGATGCAGAGGCCATGGAAGGAAGCTGCTTACTGGCTTGCCTCCCATGGCTTGCTTAGCCCACTTTCTTATAGAACCCAGGACCAGCAGCCCGAAATGGCACCACCCACAATGGACTGGGTCCCCGCCCATTGTTCACCAATTGAGAAAATGTCTTACAGCTGGATCTCATCAAGGCATTTCCTCAGCTGAGGCTCCTTCCTCTGATGGCTTTAGCTTGTGTCAAGTTAACACACAAAACCAGCTGGTACACTGACCTACATCCTCAGTGACAATTTTTATTTGTTTTTATTTTTTTTATTTTTCAGTAGGGTTTTGTTATGTAGCCCTGACTGGCCTGAAGCTTGCTATGTAGAACACGCTGGCTTCCAGCTTGTGGGCAATCCTCCTTAGTCTAGCAGCAGAAGACACAGTGTTGGCCTGGGTTCGCCTTACTCTGTGCTGACTTGAGCAACTGTTTTCTGAGGTTGTAGTTGGCTGGCCTTAACCTATCCATCCAAATCGAAAGCTGCTCAGGGGCAGTCCTTTTCTCTATGGCCAGCACTGGCACAGAGGTAGAGAGCAGGCACAGCCAACTAAAAGAAGAGTTTAGAGTTGGGGGGTATATGGCACAGAGAGGAAGAATTTCTAAACTTGAAGGAACATGCAACTGGGCTGGGCTAAGCTGTCCCATCCCATGGCTCTGAGGTATAGAAGCTTCCGCGGTAGAGTCTCATGGCCAGACCTGTGGCAACAGGAGAAAGAAAAAGGTTTCTTTTGATTCTCAGGCCTGAGCCATAATTTACACTGGAGGAGCAAGGATCTACAGAGACCCCCACAGTCTCTGTCTGATCTGAACTTCTTGCTACTGAACTGTTCTTCAGGCCCCTGAGAGATCTGCACATGGAGTAGATGATGAGCGTAGGGGTGGGGGTGGGGGAAATCTCGGCCCCAGCTGGGGAAGCAGTGAAAGAGTATACATATCTGAGTATACATATCTGTGTATGTGTGTGTTGGGGGGAACCTCCATGGCCTACAGGATCCTAGCCATTTCTAACCCCCGCTAATCCATTCTGCCTTTCTTACAAAGATTATGACTCACTTCCTACAATTGGTTCTTAGCTCTGCTGATCCTTTATCACTCTATGTTAGAATCTTAGTTTACCCCCAACCAGAAGCCTTCCCAATAGCATGATCCCTTTCCTTTCTAGATATTCTCAGGTACTCAGTGTCTGGGGAAAAGATCTGTTGCTGAGCATTTAATAAATGGGTGGATTTTTCAATTTATCTGTAACATCTCTTATGAAGTGTTGGAATTGACAGGCCAGGGTCTCCATTCGGCCTCCCTAGGCAGATTTTGATTTTTTAAAGATTTATTTATTTTGACTTCATGTACATTATTGTTTTGCCTACTTTTATATGTGGGTACTACACGTGTGCCTACCAATGCATAAGAGGGCATCAGATTCCGTAGAAGTTGCAGAGGGCCATGAGCCACCCTGTCTGTGCTGGGAACAGAATCCAGGTCCTCTGGGAGAACAGCAAGTTCTCTTAGCCTCTGTCTCTACGTTGGCCGAATGGGCTGAGCCCCTGGTTCATGTGGTCATAACACGAGGGTGGGTAGACTGAGTCCACTTTCCCAAACTAAATTATAAGTGTGTGTCTATAGATGGGGCGGAAATTGCTTTAAGTTTTATGGGAATGGAGAAGTAAGCTGACCAGATCTGGGGGGCCTTATAGGATAGTGGGATCATGTGAACTAGTTGGTAAACCTCTAGCCTGTCTCAGACAAAAGGTTGCAGAGCTGAAGGAGCCTTTGGCTTCCTAGTTTCATAGTCCAGCTTTCTAGTTAGACTCTCTGAAGGCAACATAGCATATCGTAAAGTGTTTTTCATCCACCTAACATGTTAACTTTGTTTACATTTTATTTGTTTGTTTGTCTTGAGACAGGATCTCCTGTACCCAAGCTGTCTTCAAACTCACTGTGTAACTCTGGATGACCTTGAGCTCCCGATCCATTGCCCTCACTTTACAAGGTGCTGGGATTCCAGGCAGGTGCCACTAAGCCTGACTGCTTTCTGTTCTACTGCTTTTAATGTCTTCAGACAAGTGTTCCCTACGGAACTGTCTCCTGCTTTAAACACTTGTGTAGCTTCTACTGTCCTCAGGATAAAGTCCAAGCATCACACAGGGACCTGTTGTACTCTGCCCACCCATCCAGAATCACCTTTGACTTCTGCCCACCGTTCCCTCTCTGAACAAGCTTTGCTCTTCTTCTGTCTGGCTCTTCAGCTCCTACTAACCCCTGGAGGCCCTGGAGTTGGGTGTGTGTTGAATATCCTCTGAGCTCCTATCAGAGCGCTAATCTCTTTGCACGGTAATTATATATTCACTATTCCTCTCTCCTAACCCTGAAGGGAGACTATCTCTGTATCTCCAGGTCCTGCAGAAGTACTGGCAGAAAGCCCTGAGCAGGAACGAACCAGTCCAAGATGAGTGGCTCACGTGCTCAGAATATTCCTTGCTCCTTTGGACCCGGGCTTAGTTGGACCTTCTTAGTAGCCTGGGACTCACTGAGATAGTGAGATCTTTGCATGGAGCTTGTCTTTGTCTTGTTCTCCCAGGGGCTTTTGTGAGTGGTATGAGATGTGCTGGTGTGTGTGGGTGGGGGGTGCAGGCTGTGTATGGGGGAGTCATAGCTTCCCCCAACTCCCTCTCAATCATGCCCTAAGTAAACAAGACTGAGTCCCCAGACTCTAAGGTATGGTGTCTTGGGCCATCTCTTGTCTCACCGGGGAAGGCAGGCTCTTTGGGGTGGAGCCAGGACTGAAAATGGGTTCTTTTGATAGTGTCACTTCCTATATGTGGTCATTGGCTCCGTGTCACAAAACCTCTGTTTCATGGTTTATGTACGGAACGAGGAAGTCAAAAGGGACCTTTCCGTTGTGTTTGCTCGACATCCATCAGGGACCACACCTGGCCCCTCTGATTTAGGTGCAGCCTCGAATGCACGATGTCCTCAAGAGAGCAGCTATCTGCGCCGGCTAGTGGGGACAAAGGCAGAGACAATGAGGCAGGGTGGGGTGGGGGGGGTAGGTACCCTGTTGGGTCTGAATCAACTCCAGTTTCAGCTCCACCCCAATTTACCGAGAAGCTCGAACCAATCCCTGACCCTCTCGAGATTCCGCCGCTGAAGTTGGTATGGAGGGAATGAGTGGTGTATAAGTAACCTTGAAGTGGTCTGATGCAAGCACTCTAAACCCAGCCATAAGGGGGAAATACCTCGGTGGGGGCAAATACCAGGATACCCATAACCCCAGCGCTCTGCTACCCCTTCCTCGACGTGAGTTCCGCCCAATGGGGAAAGGGGGAGTCTCCGATTGGCCTATGGCGGGTTCCAAGTCTAATTAGACAGCGCTATTGGCCCCACACTCGTCTTTGGCTTAGAAATTGCGGAAGAAATAGACTTTAACTACAACTCCCGAGAGGGAGCGGGGGCCCTACAGCGCCTTGCTCACGTGACTTCCTCCTCGCAGAGCAGTCACGCGATAGGCCGGCGGGGAGGCGGGGCCCATGACCGTCAGCAGAGCCGGCGGCCTATGGGCCGCCCCGTCGGAGGGGGAGCGCGGCGGGGGGCGGGGCGGGGTTGGGCGCGCTGCAGGGCGCGGGAGCGCGCCGGCGGCGGTGGCGGCACTGGCGGCGACTGTGGGAGGGGGGGGCGGGGAACCTTGGTTGAGGCGACCGTGGCTGTTAGGCACCCTCGACTGGCGGCGGCGGCTCCTGGTGCGGCGGGGCGCTCGGCCAGCTTTCCAGGTCGGAACGGAACGCCTGGCTTCGCGGGCCCCGCCCGGAAAGTTTGCAGCGGAGCGGCGACCTCCCGGCCGGCGCGGCCCAGCATGAAGCGGCGCTGAGGAGCCGCCGCGGCCGCCTGACGAGAAGCCGCAGCACCCGGGGCCACGCCGATGACTACTGCAAACTGTGGCGCCCACGACGAGCTCGACTTCAAACTCGTCTTCGGCGAGGACGGGGCACCAGCGCCGGTGTCCCAGGTCTCGCGGCCTGCAGGTGAGTGCCGGGCCAGCCCAGACTGGGGAGCGTGCCCTCCCCGCGCTCCCGCCAGCTCGCCTCTCTCCTGGTCCCCCTGGTTGGTGCGTGCGTGTGGTGAGTGAAGCACGATTTAATTTGAGGAGGAGGAGAAGAAGGAGGAGGCGTGTGGTTGGCGGCGACGTGGAAGTGGCTCAGCTGGAAGCTAAGTCGTAGGGAACTCGACTCCGGGTGGCCGGTGGCCGCCCGGAGTTTGGAGGCGGAGGGTTGGGGCCAAAGCCCCAAGAGGTTTCTGGTTGTCGCTGCTGTGCCAGCGTGGTGCTGAGGAAACGTCCCCGCGAAGCACGCGTAAGCGCACATAGCTGTTTTTAGCTTGTTTGTAAAGTTCTTCATTTGAAAGATGCGTACTCTTGAAGAAGAGCAGGACCCTTTTAAAATTCGTGTATTTTTTTTTTAAATCTGCTTTGCTAAGAGAGTTAACACGTTCGAGAAATTGTTCAGTCTTGCAAATTTATATTCCACACTTAATTTCAAGTATACTGTAACAGACTTTTCTGAACACCGGGTTGTTTTACGTGAGCAAAGTGTTTTCTGGAGATTTTTCTTTTTTTCTTTTCCTTTTTAAAGTTAGGGTGCCTTTTTTTTTCATAAATTACCTATAATGTTCTAGAAGTCAACTTTTGTTTTAAGAAAAAAGCTTTTCTCAGAAGATTTTTAAAAGGAGATCTTAGGTTGGGAAAGCCGGGCACCATAATGCTTGCAGGTCAGGCCAGTCAGGAAATAGAAACAGGATGATGACTGGGGACTTAACGCTCTCCTGTGACCTGGTTTGGAATAGTGTGGTTCATTAAGTTCATTTCCCTTTACATATGTAAGAGAACTTAGAGAAGATGGAAAAGAGTATCTCTATTTTTCTGTCTAGTGTTGAGTACTTACTGCTATCCATACTA